CCATTCATTTATTCATGTTTTTTAAACACATAGCTAGGCACACGTGCACGTCTGGTATATTTACAGAAAACAGTATTTATCAGAAGTTATGCGTCTCGAAAAAAAAACTTAAAACGAGTAACCAGGTAGGTCTAACTGATAAATAAATTGACGGTGTTTATAATTTATATACAAGTTAATTTAGATTTACCTGTATGATCCCAATCGATGATTGGCTTAAAAGTGCTCAAAATACTAACAGTATAGCCTCCATGGAGTACATGAGCTTAATAGCAATTAGCATTACTTTTACACATACCATGTTAAAAATTTATACGAGCCGTTTTATAAATTATGTGAAATTTTACGCGTTTAAATTTAACGGATTTATAAACCTAAAAAAATTCCCGTCATTCGGTAATATGAAAGAGGCGACATGATTCCACTATTGGAGTACACGATGTATTTTTAACATTCGACATGCCTGCGGCTCTCTGTGGCCACGCACGTTAAAAAAATAATGGAGAAACAAAAGAGTGATGGTAAAAATAAAACGTACATATAGTACATTACCTATCTCAAGACTTCCATCACTAATTATAATTATTTGCCGAAGCCCCTTTTCAATTACAATTTTAATAAAATACATTAACACGGAATAGAGAAACAATTTTGGGTGAACAGGCCAAAGAAAGCGATCAAAATTCAAAATGATTTATGCAGTGTTAGAAATTGTGATTTAGTGTACGATCGGTGAATTATTCTTATTGATTCGATTAATTAAAAACACAATTTTCTATTAATTGATGGGTCTTTGTACACAATGGATTTTATACACGATCACAGACTATGCAGACACTTGCTTTGTTTACGACAACAGGTGGCTGGTACACTAGTGACCTCGATAGGCACCGTGGGATAAGCGCGTTGGATTACATAACAGCTAGGCGAACGTGAAGATCAACTAAATGATCGTGAATTATTCGATTAATAAAGTTTAAAATTACTTACAATAATAATTAATGTAGAAAGATAGATTAAATATATTCCGATGAAGACGTGTTCACTATAAAACTAATTAATAATACATAAAAAGAAAGACTAATTGTTATAAAAAAATTTAATAGTGAACCGTAAAGCATGTATAAAGACCTTTTTAGAAGAAATTTAACAGTAAATACCATAGGGAATATTATTGATAGGAAGTCTGTGTAAATTATACACATGAAGAGGTCTGATTTCCTTTCCAAATAAAAAACGCTACCTGTTTACCTGGCCTGCTTTCTTCTTCGTGTTACGCAATACCCCCGGTATAATCGAGCAAAACAACATTTTCATCAGATCAAAAAGGTGTCAAAGAACAATTTTGATCGTAAGATCCAGATCGAAATTTTTACCGTTTTCGAGTTATAAATCAAAAGCTTTCACGTTCCCTAAATCCCTAATTATAGGGGCCAGCCCCTTTTGAGTAGTATTATATGAAAGCCCCTGCAATTATGCACAACTTTTGTTCTACATGTCTTAACAAAATATTTTTAGTTTTCAAGATATAAAGGAAAATATGTGTAAATTTTCGCTTTTTTAGGCGTTCTAATTTTTGACCCCTATATAGCGCCATTTTGAATACAGAAATCGAAAAACAAAAACCGATGTGCACAACTTCAATCCTTCTGTTATCTAAAACAGTAAAATTTCTGCTCCATCTTTAGTGGTCTCTGAGCCTTTATCTGGAAATGAAAGCCTATAATTTTTCGTTTAAAGGGGAATAACTCATAAGCGGAAGTAAATTTTTGAAATGTTAGGCAGTATTCTGATAGGGTTTATTATCGTCGATAATGTCTGAAAATTTGAGCAAAATCCATTGAGAAATGAGCGAGATATGAGGCCTCATAGTTGGCGTCTAGGAAGAAAAAAAAAAAAGAATAATAAGAATAATCTTAATCATCAGAATCAGTAGAAGGTCTTCCGTTGGAAACGGAAGACCTTAATAAGAATAATCTTAATCATCAGAATCAGTAGAAGGTCTTCCGTTGGAAACGGAAGACCTTAATAATGAACAGAAAGGATTTCAAATACATCTGAATGGAAGCAGCTGACACTTTGGAGAATTGATGTCATGGAAAAATCCTGATTCTTTAAACATCTCAAGGGACTGTTTGAGTGTATTACAAACACTAATAAAGCAAGGAAACAATGGAAGGATGCTGAATTGCTTGTCGAGCTCACGATAAGATAAGACCGACCTTTATATTAGTTTTCAAGGATTTACTTTTCTGGGTGAAGATTTCTAGCCTATGTAGTACGTTGTCTTAATGAATGAAATCATCACAAAATTAGTGCCGAGGCAATTATTAAAGAGTTTTTCCCTTCAATTTTGATTGATTTCTTTTTGATATTTGTGGTCCCATAATATATGTTGACATCTTTCACAAAGTGTATCAAAGAATTGCACATACTGTAAACGTGGAAATTTTGATGATGTGCTAACTTTGACTATATTGACGATTTTTCTTTCCTCCTCAAAATTTACACTCGTCAAATTTCAAATCATATATATAGCGTAACAACTGACATTGACCATTGCACAACTTTACCGCTAAATTTTCACAATTCCCCTATTAAAACTGGACCAAAGTTACTGTTAATTTCCTTTGCAGTCAGTTATAAAAACATAGTGATATTTAATCCCACTTTTTAAAAAACATTGACTCTAATCTAGTGTATCAAATGCTTGCATGTGTAACTTAGCGTAATCATTACGCCGTGCTAGACCAAGTTTGTCACCTCAGGCAACTGATCGCTCTGACGTCGCGCATAATATTGGGGTTTGAAATTGCGTAACATGTAACACTGTAAACGACCGGCGATGGTATTTTTGGTCGTTTTATCGTTTTGGCTACATGGATATTTCTGGCAATTTGTACCAAACTTCTATAACTTTCCGTGATGTTGTCACACAACATTCATTAATAAATTTCTAATTTATAGACTGTTTCGACTGTTCGTAAAATAGGATTCCGTAACATGCCGTAATCTTGACAAGTTACAAGAAAAGATAGAATGTTTGATAAAGATTTTTATATCCACAAATAATCCTGATAATGAGACAAGACAACTTTGGCTATTCGAAGCTTGTTTTTGCTTAACCTCTTGTATAAATCATTAAAAACACAAATGAGTGAAACTGTCATTTATTCAAATAACAAATGACTAAAACTAAAATCTACAATACATATTATAAAAAAGTTACATAACAATTAATTGGCTTTGCTTAAGTCAAATATTTCTTTAAAAAAGTATAAGCAAGCGGTAGGAGAGATTAATTGAGCGATTTTGATGTCTAGTCGGTTTTGTTACTACAACACAAATATGCATATTATGGTATTTAATCGGGCGCTTAACACCAATGTGAGCTTTATTAGCTGGGAAAACTTTTAACAGATAAAATATTATTTTTAAAATGTGCAAATACATAAAATTTTGCATTTAAAGAAACATTAAAAAGTAGGCCATTTTTTAAAAAAAAAAACAGGAGCAAAAATTGAATGTCTAGTCTGATATCTTACGCTTTCGAATTTTTGACGTTTTTACGCTTAAACGACATATGCAATAACGTCAGAAAAGTGTATTTTGACGTTAGAAAATCAGCCCCAATTCTGTGCTCGACGTCTTAAAATAAATGCAAAATACAAAAGGGTAATTGAATCTTACACATGCAGTTTTAAGGTTTGTATAATTTTACACACTGTAGTTGGTCTAACTCTAACTCTGGTATTCATTTTTGTTACTTCGTGAAATCAAAGATACATAACTCTCGATTCAATATTTCGTCAAAATAAAGGTCATACGCAATGTAATTTGAACTTTTTTTGGTTCTTCCCTGGAGTTGAAGAGTTCTACTAAATGAAGGATCCATGTGCAATAATTTCAATATTTGTATATGGATTTGTACACCTCTTCTAAAACAATTTTTGATAAAAAAAAATCTGGAATTTATGTTTTGTAATTTTTGAACATTTTTTTTTTGAATAATGCAAAATTTTTCACAATTTGATATCTTTTCAAAACCCCTGGTAACGCATGATGATTTTTTGTCTAAGAACATGTAATGGTATTGTAAGTTAAAATTTAGAATATCTTGAAAAATTATCAGTAGGTAAGGTACGTTGCGTATGTCCTTAATACTCGACAATTTTCATAAATACAAAATTGTCAATTTTTCAACTCGTCAATATAACCACGTTTACAGTATTGTAATAATTGGGATAAGGCTTTTATTTGATTGATCTATTTAGAATTTGGAGGGAAAAGGTATGGAAAATTTGTCTTTTTTTCATTCATTGGGGCAATATGTTTTTGGTCATCTGCAAAGTACTTGTTCGTGGGGGTGTAATTTCTGGTGGGTAACTCGTTTATCTGGTAGATTCAATAATGTTTACAAAATAAATGTTCGTATGGATGGGTAATGGCACCCCAATGAAATTCATGAGCATTGGTACACAACAATAATGATGATTCCACAATAAACTGATATGTAAGTACACCCTGTTGCCATTTCAGCAGAGATAGATAAAAGAGAGGCAAGCTTAATTTTAAGGCTCACTTTGACATACATGTATGTTATCGCCATGTACCGGTTGACGACAATTTATGCAGTCAGGGTAAACAAATATTGTCACCATCAACAACAATTTATAGAAGGCGACAAAATATATAAAAAAAAATATGTAAACGGCATCACGAAATATCCATCTACCATCACTGCATATTTTGTAAAGTCCATCTTCATTTGAAATAGAATTTCAGAAAGCAATGCCAACATAGTTTATTTTACTTTCCATGATATCACATTTATCTAATTATTTGATGTTTTGCTGAAGGAAAGCAAAATGTTTGTGAAATTTTAAAGGCACGCTCAGCTTTGGCTGTAGTTAATAAATATTTTTAATTTGTTTTCAAAGATCTTTTTATTTATTATCCCTGAATATAACTGAAAATAGATTGATAAAAACATACACTAGAACATAACAGACATAAATAAATTACAAGAGGTAGTATTTTCAAATTATATACATTTAGTATGTATATTATGGTCCAACTTTTTTAGGAATTTCAATCGCATATTTTTCCTTTTCCTTTTCAACGATGCACACTTGTATTGCGTCAACTTTTGTCTGACTACAGAGTCTCTCATGAAATAGCACACGAATTTTAAACAATACAAACACAAAAAGATGCACCAGTAATCCTAAAACGAATGCTACAACCAGTCCCGTTGGAAGAGCCACTGATAAATTGTTCCAGTCCAACACAGAGTAGATCGCTGATCCTCCCGCGGCGTAATAAATAAGGGAGAGAATGAGATAGGATGCAGAAAACAGAAGAGGTTGGTATGCGTGTAAGAGTTTTGTTGGCTTGGCACATACTAAAATGTTGGCAAATGTGAAGAAAGCGTTCATCATATGAGTGATAATGCTTGGTGGATCAAAACCTGCAGAGAAAAAAAATATCAACAAAGTTAAGAAACTTTTTTAATATGGGAGGGGATTCGATAAAAGAAGCTTTTAATAGCATAAAATTCATTAATACATGTATTAACGTACATGAACATCATATACGAAAAGACGTTTTCTTTTATCAGAAATTAACAGAAGTACTTATAAAAACCCAATCCGTTATAAAGAATTATTTTCATGCAGATGTATCCAGAAGACGAAGTTGCTAACGAACCATCTTTGGTAGGTAATTTTAACCTTTTTATAACTTGTCAAAACATAGTAAAAGAATAATAAGTAATAATACTAAAGTGAGGTTTTTTTTTAATGCAATGTTTAGTGCACATGCACATTTATACTAAGATTTTGCATCTCTTTTAAATAAGATAAATGAAGGGTTAGAAAGCTTATAAGGATCTTTAAAATGTATGTTAATTGCCTAGTATAATTCCCTGCAATCCCTGAAATTTCCGTATACTTATACTGAAGCCAAAGAAAGTTTTAAAATAATTATCGCCCATGTGCAAACAATTCGTAGTAAAATGTCTTCTCTGAAGCAACTTGTCTTGTACAAAATGAGAATATGTATTACTTTTACATGTATGCAAGGTACATTATAGTGTTAACTTACTGACTGTAAGGAGACCATAATATGACAGAGATATCGTTAGGGCCACCACGTTATTGATATTGTATAGACACCACACCAACTGAAGGTACCATGGAGATTCACTCGCACTCCCTGAAAAGTTAAAATGGTCTCTCCTGTATAATACTTTCAGATATTTCATCACATTCAATACATGAAAGAAAAAAGCATCTTTTTGATTAAATTTTGGAGATTATTTTCCTTCTTACAAATCTTCAGTTCTTTTTTCAAAGAGATATAGAAAAAAACTGTTTCAAAAATGTACGCAACAAAACAGCAAGATCAGTTTTACATTACATTTATTTATAAGTATTTGTACTTACCAGACAAAATATCCGGTCGTTTTATATGCACGTAAATAGTGGCAACACAATCAGAAATTGAAAATATTCCTAGCACTGCGTATCCTAAGTTTGTCAAATACAAAGGCCAAGCTAGGTTATTTGGCCATTCTGTAGAATAGTAAGGCATGAGCAGAAGGTTTAACAGGTGATACAGTGCCCAAAATGTTGTCCATACAGGGTAGAAAAACCGTGGTCCGCACTACAAATAAAATGGAAGCAATAGAACATTGCACTGGTAAGGTTTTCATACTTATTACTAACTAAATATTCAAACTACATATTGTATAATGATTTTGGGAATAAGTTTGATTTCAATTTCCTTTATTTTTAAGGGAAAGTATAGCAAAGGGGTAACTGTCACCAGGTGCTCGGTAAAAATGAATCAAGAAAAAGGAAATGGTGGATATTTTGAGTAAAATGGAGAAAACAGATCTAGATACTTGCAATTGTCTACTCTCAAGCAAACTTTGAAGAAATCGATCATTAGTTACATCTGTACATATAATGTAGAATTTAAATGGTCAACAAAGTACTGTTTATTTCCGCAAGGAAATTCTTTAAATTATATTGCATAAATGAAATATTAAAATCCAATGGTAAAAGTTTCTTAACTTAAAACTAAGCATTTATTTAAAAGTTATCAATACAAATGTTTTAGAATTAAATTTACAAATAATAAAAAAAAAAACATATTCAGTAAACACAAGCAAAGAAGACAAAATGAAACAAAAAATTGGCAATTATAATATAATAGATTGATTTTAGGTTTAAAATTAAAACAAAAATATATCACGCTTACATACCTGAGAAGTCACGAAAGCTTTTGCTTTGTTGTTTTTTAATGATAAATTGCGCAATCTGAACTCTTCTTTTAGGATTAGACAGCGACAAGAATCCATTGCATCCACACTAATTTCTTGTTTGAAAGTCATGTTTTATTCCCACAAAAACACAGCAAGTCTTCATTGATATCTTTTTCCACACGATTCATGTAGGAGTATTAAACATTATTCCATAACAACCCGCGCCAAACGTCAATGGACTGTTACTGGTCGAACGATATGGCGATGTTGAATAAGTATTACTTCATATCTACCTCATTTTATTTCCGCTTATACGGCAATGAACAAATGAACAAATATCCTGTTAAAGAAATTGGGGGAGCTGCCCTACTGGCCCGGAATTCTAATATCTATGTTAAACCTCACTTGCCGGGGATTTTTTACGCTCTTATTTACAAGATTACTTCTTCTTTTCACAAGTAGTACCACCACACCATTTTCAAACAACCATAAGCCCCCTCTAGTAAAATTTTTTTAATGACCACGGTATTAAAGGTTTTATAATAATTACGACGAGCGGATGCGAGTTTAAATACTTTAATCTGTTTTCATAACTGTTACAAAGGCGAGTAGCTGTAGGGACATATAAAAGTACAATCTGTAACACGGATTAGGGTTTCTGTTGGTTGGAAAGAAAACGCTGAAGCGACGCGGGATACATTCTGATACGCATTGTGGGATTAAATTGGAGCGACTGGTTCTGTAACGCACATACTATTATCAACTCTTTTCTTGTGTCAGTTTTCAAAACTTGTTCATGATTATTTACCTATCTCTAATTACGTTGCTTGCCCATTTTTTCCTTACTTGACCTTTATATGAGTTTCTTAATTTTCATTTTGCCAGCGTGAAACTTAAGGGTTCTCTTTTTAAAGATGAAAATCATGACTAAACATTTTTATTGAAAGAAATAATAATAATCATTTACATGAAACCATTTATACTTTTATTCATTTATTTTCTTAATTATTTTTAAAATATTTAGTTAGGTAGAAAAAAAAGTTTAAGACAGAAGTCTATATAAAATAAGGAATTTCTTTTATATGTATTATAAACGAAAATAATTTTAAATTGACTATATCTGCAGAATGGAATCTAAGTTCTATAAAAGTTTTATTAAAATCTTAGTTAGAATTATTAATTTTTCTAATATAATCTGCTAATAACCTCTCCTGATCTTGGTTTTTCCGTAATAAACATGCGTCACTATAATCCAATATGGACGAATGAATTTGTTGAGTGCCTCTTAACATTAAATCATTGACATACATGTAATAACTAGTGGTGTTTTGATCTTATTTAGATTAATTAGGATCAATTAGATTTGTTTTTAACCGTGGCCTACAATATCTAATCGGGTTTCAAATAATATCGGTAACAGAATACTTTACCGTGTGAATTTCCTCTCGCTTAACTACAACTAAGAATAGTAATTTTTCGTTCATTTTAATTAAATACCCTTTCAATAATAAGTTACATCATTCTAAAAAAAATTGACTAACATATATGTATACCATCTGTTAAAGTGTCTACTTGTTTGTGTACCCACGCGTACAATTTTAATTCAGACGAGTTTCAACAAATATTCTATAAAACATCTAATATATACAACAAAAGTCAATATTTACATTTGCAAATGTTTTCCTTTATATAGCACAACTGAAAGCAAGCGTATTTATAACTGTATATTTACATCCGCTGAATATTTTCTCCTTTATTTCTTAAGAAAACCCATTGCGTTAATCACTGCATGAACTACAGTCGGTATGTCGCCTGTACAGATTTCTTGATAGTTGCCGTTCCATCAATGAAACGTATAAAGACGTGCACATCATTAATACAATAATTAATCTTTTTAATCCTACTTTAAATGATTATTTAAGCAGATATAAATATAAAGAATAAAATGTCTTTCTTTGTTTGATATTACTGGAATTAACGGTCGCAGCTATGGCAGAAAACATTAACATAACCCGCTTACGCAGGTTATGTATTTTTCCTGCAACAGCTGCTTCCGTTAATTCAGTAATAACAAACAAAGAAAGCATTTTATTGTTTTAAATATTTGCATATCCACTGCTCTCTCCCACTATGAACATGTAGGCACCAACTGAATTCATAGGACTATAGACGCAACTGCTACTGCTATGAGTGCAATTGCTCTATCGCACTCGTGTAGATCAAGTGCTACTACATTGTACATTGTCGTGTTGAGAAGTATATTATATATTATATGAAATGTTTCGTGAGAGGAATAAATATAAGTTTTGAATAATATTCTTTGAAAAAAAAAAGCCCTTCGGGTTTTATGGGATTTGATCACGCGACCAACCCATTTTACATCCCAATAAAAGTAAAAAATGATACCTTATTTCTTAAAAAAATCCAGCAAAAACATAATAATTTTACGTTAAGTATAGATGCAAGATTTGTATTCTGGACTTTGTATGAAAGAAATAACATAGTATTTCAAATATATTCATCCATGGCTGTAACGATTTAAAATAGACAACAACTTGATCAGAAAGCTTCTAATTTAGTTTTAAAACTAAAGGGAATTTTTTTCTTTTGTGGGGATCAAGATATTTTTTATCCGGGTCAGAAATTGGACTTTTTGAAGCTTTTATAAGGTTGAGAGAGCTTTTTAAACAATAACTGATACATTGTATATTGGACATGTACATTTTATGTCCTCCAAATCCAAGGCACATGGTCAAGGTAGAAGCACATTAAATATCATTTCTCTCATTAATGAAGATATAGGTTGATGTAAGATTTTATCTAAATATTCATTTCTTTAATCAAACAATTTGAAAAACAAGTTGATAAAGTAAGATTATCAGCTGTCTCGTTTATAGGTATCATTTCTGTAAGTTCTATGGTCTATACAACGACCTTGCTCAGCGAATACATTCTATCATTAAGACCAATGCTGACTGATATTTTTGATGAAAATTGCTAGGCCATCATTTACATGTACAAGTACACTCTGAATTGTTGATGAATTTTCCCTTATTTCCCGATCATGACAAGGAACACACAGCGGTTGACTGGGGATGCTTACTCCTCCATGGTACCTGATCCAACCTCTGACGTTTTAGAGGTCCATGCTTGCTCTGGTCCTCATTGTATTGTTTGATGGACTTTACATATTTATTTGTAACAATTTATTTTTTCAAGATACACTGTATATACATTTATTTAAATTCATTTAAATATATAGTCGATATAATAAGTGTGCTATTGATGGGTTTTTAAAATTTTAGTGAATTGCGTGTAAAGTATGAATGAATGTTAAGTATGTTATATGAATATACTTGCACATTTCTTATCAAAATAATATAATCTATAAAATTCCAAGTTGTGTTTTACCGATTTTAATGACGGATTACAACTTTTGTATGTAATATGTAGGATATAGAGTCACTTCGTTATATCCGAATTAAATGGCAGTAAATAAATAAAAGCACACAAAACACAAATAACAAATAGAAAGGCGACTGTTGATTTCATAAAATAAAAAAAAGTACCAATGCGGGTAATCTTTGTATATTTTTAAAGGGAATAATATTACGATCGCTAATAGTAGCAAGCTTTTCATTCCTTGCTATAGTATTTTACCATTGTTGACTCTACCCAGTCATTTTTCAGTCTTTCGAAGTAAAAAACGAACTTCAAATGGTTGTGCTTGTAAGACAAGTCCTGGAATCATTTCTCTCGGATCGAGGTCTGGTAAGGGTTTGCCTTCAGGTTCAGCTATCGTTATTGTTTGCATCAATGTAGACAAGAAAAGAAAGATACGGGATTTTGCAAATACTTCTCCTATGCAACTTCTTTTGCCTAGTCCAAATGCCACCAACCTGGGTAGAAATAACAAAATATTTTCAATTCAGGGGCTAGCATTGAATAATATGTTATCATGTTTTATAAGGTTACATCGTTTCCTTGAGATTTAATAATGAATATTTTGTACAAGCATGCTTTATAATACCATTTCGACATTTAAATGTAGATTCGTAGTAAGGCTACTATACCTAATCTCAACAGATTAATACATTTATTTACTTCCACAAATTTTCTTTAGATCTGTTTATAAAAAGGTTATACAAAAGATAATTTTTTAACATTTTACTCTGTTAACATTTTACTCTGTACACATGCATGTTTGTATACATGTATGTGAACTAGTATACACATATATGTGTAAGTATATACTAATTTATTCAGTTTTGATATCACTTTTATTCCAATGAGTTTGCGTTTTTTTCCTGAAAATACCTTTTCCTGATTGGATGAGTTGCAGCCAATAGCTGACCATCGTTGTCTAGAAAGCGCTGGTGTCTAAAAGTGAACGGGTCCTCCCAGTATTTTTCGCTATGATGCATTGTCCATCCATTTGGAATAATCTATAAAAAAAAATATGTTAACAAGACACAACTATTGCTACCAAAGTAAATATTAACAACTTGTTGTCTACAACTTAAGCTGAAATTTCTGCAGGATGTAAAACTAACACATCTAGAATAGAAATGTAAATTTAAAAAAAGCTAAATTTCTCCCTTGCATTGAATGCAAGAGAGAAATTTAGCTGTTTTAAATTTACATTTCTATTCTAGATGTGTTAGTTCATAAATAAATGATTTTGAATTATGATAAAAATTTAATTCATAATAAAATTATATTTCATCTTCTTACCACTGTATTTTTATCTATTTGATAGTCACCAATTGTCAAAGAATCGGAGCTTGAGTGGAAAACAAAGACTGGTAAATGGGAAATGGATCGCAAAGTCTCTAGAATGACAGCCTCGAGCGTCGGACAATTTTCCCTGTCAGACAGTCTGGGTTCCCGTCTGGTTCCTATAACATCGTCCACCTCCTTTTGTAGGGCTTTCTGAAGTTCTGGTCTCTTTGCAAGTATATGTACTAGTGAAAGAAGTGTTCCTCTAGTTGTCAGGAAACCTGTAATAACGCGAGAACTGTATGAAGTTTTTATTTCTATGTTTAATTGAATGTTATATACTTGAAATACTATACAGCTTCTTCTCCGCATCGTAATGTCATTGAAATTTTATAACTACGAAACATGAAATTAAAGAATATAGTCAAAGGCCAATTGATCCTTTATCAGTCTATGTGATGCTAGAAAATTGAAATATGTGCTCTTTGTCATGATAGGGTGAACAGAGATTTCTCATACTAATTATTAGGCTATTATATACACACTGAATTATCAACGCATTTTGATATAATATACAGGGTGTCCCATAATATATGATACCATTTTAAATTATTGTCGGAAACGCAGGTCTAGACCAATTTCTTTGAAATTTGTCTCATTAAATATTTGAGTGAATACAATTTTTAGCAACAAATAATTTCAGTTAAATTTTTTTTTACATAGTTGGAGTAATGTAGCCACATAATTACGTCAAAAAAATGCTAAATATTGCATCTGAGCCAAAATTGATTTATCAATTAAGTTGGATACCCTCATTTCAAAACTGTAATTATCAAATCCAGTCTCAAAATATTGTTACCAAAACTAAATATAAATCTTTAATTTATCTAAAAAGGTATATATCCAATGAAAATCTAGATTATAAGTAAAGAAAAGCGCATTGTTGTCTTAAGTTATGGTATTTTGTGCAATGTGTAGACGTGATCATTACCCAGACTGGATGTCATTCAGAGGACATTTGTTAAAAACAATAGGATTTTTCAAAGTGAACTCGTTTTGTCCTGTTCCTTTCATTGTCCACAAAATTTTGTGAATAAAATTGGACAACATATGCAATGTTTATAGTGCATTTGTTGTAATTCAATATTCGTTACATTATATTTTATAACTCCATGAAATGGTATATATTATGGGAAACCCTGTACTTAAGTGAAGAGGAAATCAATGTCAAGATTTGGTTGTATATCCACTGTAAATATTTTTTTTTCAAAAATTAAAGTTAATTGGATGACCTCTTGCTTATGAAGCATACAAAATAATAAAAATGGCTGAAATTACTTACTGGCTGTAACAAGATTTAGTAATAATGCTGCCAGGTTTACTTTCGTGAACCAGGGTTTCCCGTTCTTGTCTTCTTCTTTCATTACTTCCTTCATTGTGTGATATATTCCTCTTTCTTCACATTCTTCTTCCTTAACAAATAGGAATGTTCAGATTATGCAGGGTTATGAGGTTAAAATTTGGTTATCTAAATAATGTTTCTTTGATGATCGAAGAGAATAATGGTTATTTTTATATTTATTGAAATTAATTTACATTTCGTCTATGCCTGATTTTGTCCCAATTTTTCGTTATTTTTATTAAAGAAAGAAACTTCAGGTTTCTAATTTAGTATGTTCTCTATGAAAATGGCAATTTTTACTAATGAAGAAATCAAAATAAGAAAAAAATGTTGCATTACCAACAGCGTATCTAATAGATCCAACAAACAACTCTGTGATTTTTTAAGTTCCCACAAGGCCAATGATCCAGACAGAGGAAAATGTCGTAGAAAGGGAAACAGAGCGAAGATGGAATCGGTGCCTGGGTTAGCAACTTCGTTCAGCAAATCATTTTGTTTTATGAGAAGATTTCTCAGCTGACTCCCTTTTCCAAAACTACGACCAATTATCTGTTAATCGTAATTAATTTTATTGAAAAAAATGCATTCTTTTAAAGAATGATTCAGCTCATTAAGTATGAATTTAAAAAAAAAAATAATCTATTTCTTAACGTTAGAATTAAAATAGACTTAAGAATTATAAAAAGAATAGGAAAAAATTTATGGAAGAGGAATATTTGTTTTACATTCAAATCTCCGCTTTTATATTCAGTTGTTGTACTGAAAAATCTATTGTCTACCAATGCCAGATTTTAAAATTAATGTAGTGCAGATTCCTATTTTGGATATAATAAAACTTTCGTATATTATTTCGCCCCGTGGGGATCCGGGTTAGAATAGGTCCTCAGTACCCCCTTGCTTGTCGTAAAAGGCGACTAAATGGGGCGGTCCTTCGGATGAGACCATATAAACCGAGGCCCCGTGTCACAGCAGGTGTGGCATGATAAAGATCCCTCCCTGCTCAATGGCCCTGAGTGCCGAGCATAGGCCTAAATTTGCAGCCCTTCACCGGCAATGGTGACGTCTCCATATCAGTGAAATACTCTGGAGAGGGACGTTAAACAGTACACAATCAATCAATCGTATACTATTTCTTGAAACAGATCTGCCCAGAAAGCTTGAATTTTATTTTTTTTATATGCAAAACGAATGTCAAATTTTCGTACTATTCTCGTTTATATTCCCTGGGATACAGCACTTTTTGACAATTTTAAAGCTGGTGAATTTTTAAGTTCAAATTTCTTAGAATGATGCCGTATCATATACCGGTATCAAAGACTTACCAAAACTTCAACAGTACTGAAAATAAAGTCATCCACGAAATCCACAGGGTAAATATTCTTCCCAGATAAAACCCGAATATTATCCTTAAATGTCTGTAGATTTTTCAATATTTGACCTTCTAAGCAAGTTAATCCCTTTCCATAGGTATGCAGAAGTTGGAATGCAAGTTTCCTTCGCTTTGTCCACAGTACACTTGGTGATGAAAATCCAACATCTGCATAATCATTGTAAGCATATTTACCGGTGAATGTCAAAGGACAGTCAGAAGCAATAGTGGCATTTGGTTCTTTTAAAAACAAATCTCTCAGAATTTCTACCGAATTTATGCTGACAAATTTTTGGCCAAACAATTGAAATTGAAATACATCGCCATACAGTTGCGTCCATTCATAAAGTTTTAAGTGCAATTTTGAGATGTCGACATCTAGCACCGAACCTATGATTGGCCATTCTTTTGGTCCCGGGGGACCTAGACTGTTTGATTTAATTAGAAAGTTTTTAACAAAAGTAAATCCACACAAAATCACAATCAAAACTGCAAGTGTATATTCCAACATGATGGCACCTTCTATACATTGATAGAATTTGTGGTTGTACTTCTTTTTCCCACCCTTTTAGTTGTCGAACAAAGTAGCCTATTCTCTCATTGATAATGATGTTTGTTGTTGCTGTAAAGTGATATACTTTTTTAGTAATTTAAAGAAACATGAAAAAACTGAAATAAACTTCAATATTGAGATTTTTTTGCACCTGATCCCACCTCTGATGTTTTGGAGGTCCGAGTTTGCTAGCTCTGCTTCTATTTTTATTATTTTATGGACTTTGATATTGGATACTGTTCGTTATCTCAATATCCTTCAACTAGTTTACTTTACCCTATTTTTCTAATTCAAAAATTATTTAACATCTTTTAAAATATGTTTTTATTTTTCAGAATAATGTACCTTAACAAATTGTTTTAAAGAAAATTACATTTCACATTTGCGTCTGCAAAAAATATTCAAAGCTCCATTTTAATGAATGGGGGAAAATAGAATGAGGGCAAAAATTGGCAAGAATATAATACAACTCCAACATCCCAAAAACGTGATTTTTTGTTTTGGCCATTCTAAAGTTTTTCGATCTGAGACAAATTGATTTTAGAAAAATGATAAATAAACAAGATCTAATGAACCATTTATTCTTTTTTTTTTATACTTTTATTTATTAAGATTACAATAAAAATGGCCCAGATTAAAATCTTAAAGCCATATGAGCTGCATGTTAGACATCGGAAAAAATATTTCAAATTTGTAATTAACTATATCAATTACAGTAATAAAGAACGTTCATAAACTTCTGTTGTTCATATTTGCTATGGAAGAACATTTTATAGGCTTTGATTAAAGCAAAATTGAATTATTGTCGTCCTGTACATTAATACTGTATATTCGGTTGTACAGAATCATATCTTCTGAAACATTTTAAAACTTTATTTTGGTCTTATTGACCCTAAGGGTTTAGAATACATATATCATAACAACACATTTTACCAGAAAAATTCTCAAAAATGTAGCTCATATTGCTTTAAATTATTAAAAAGTCTTCTCTATCTCTTTCACGCAATGTTTGAAAACATTTTAATGTTTATTAGAAAATATCAATGATATAAACTTGACTCTCCGGAAATGTGTGTGGGAGCTTAAAAATATGGGTCAAATGTTCTTTTCACAAGTTTATTTAAAGAAAGGTATTGAACCTGATCGGGCTATTTTTTTATGAATTGTACTTTACTCTGAAACAAATCAATTGCACTCATTTCTGTAATAAGGTTTTTCAAAATGGATACTTTTTAATTCCTTTTTAAATTAATATTTTAAATAAATGTCATACCTTCAAGTCCAAGTAACAGTCGATAACAGCCGAAAGCTACATTTGTCAAATTTATTGATAAGACATTATACGCTAGATTTGATTTGTCCACGAGGTTATCTACATACTGAAATATGTAGGTGCCCTTGGCTTTATAAACAGAAAAAGGGCAATAGGTAAAGCCTAACGATAACCTCGTAAAAATGAATATGTCTTCAGAGCCTGACTTTTAAATCACCTCACCATTTTTTCAATGCATTAATAACGAAAACATAATTATATCAATGAAAAAAAACTTTTAGAAATTTTTTAATTAATGTTTAAATGGAAAAAAAATGAAATTGTTTTGTACTTTAGATGGGGATGTAAACTTCAACAATAAAAATGACTTTCTTTTTGGTATGTTAAAAACTGAGATTAACGGTTTCGACACTGAAATAACAAGCAAATTCAAATAATTGTTAATATTCATGTGTCCAATAAGAATACCCTATTATATGTCATTCAAAATTGAGCACCAAAATGATTTTTTTTTAAATTAGGTAACGCCGTGTTATGTATTTTTAGTCAAGGTCAAGGCGTCAAATATAAAAGCATGCTAACAGTTAGAGTCTATAACTGTCACATTTATGATCAAGGTTAATTTTTTTGTGAAATAAATACGACGGAAAACAGTTTGAAAATAGCTAATTGAAGCGAAATGTCAATTTATATATTGTTTAATTCAAAGACAAATTGGTTGCATTTATGTAAAAAATATACCCTTTATTTTATTCATTTTGTGAAAACAGAGAGCAAAAAATGCAGGATTTTCGTAAGGGGGGGGGGGGTATAAATAAAAGTACATCTTTTCATGAAGTTAAAATACATTGAATTTCTCATATAGAAGAAATATATGAATTACATAATTTTCACATTTCTTATATGTTTATGAACATGTTAATCTGAAACAATCTGAAATAATGGATGTTCAATTGCCAAACTTAAGGTTAAATCCATTTAAAATTTCATAAAAATCGTAGCCATTTCCTTTTTTATCATTGGCTGCGGCTTTTTTTTTCCCAATATATACTCCATTGAACCTTGTTACATAGTAAAGCCCCCCCCCCCCACTTTCCACAGTGCCATCCAGTATAGGCTAAAAATGGGTTTTGGAGAAAAATTAAGGTTAAAGTTCGAACCCAACGATTAAAAATATGTGACCAAAACCTGTGACATTCAAAGAGAGGTCTTTTAGACAAAAACAGTCGAGGTTGTTTTGTCAGAGGTGGTCAAGAAATTTTTTGAAGTCGCCTGGAAATGGTAAAATATTGATGACCTAGTGAATTAAACGATCATTATGTTCTCTCATAAATTGTATTCCTGAAACTCTCACTGTCTCTGCTAAAATTTTGATTATTCTGCAAATATGTTTGAACATGTAAATAAAAAAAAAAGATTTTCAAAAAAAAAGCATTCTTACATTTTAATTTTTATCATTTTCATTTGTCAAAAATAAATTTGATTTTATGCACAAGATGAATGTGAAAGAATTAATTACGCATAATTAGATAGAATAGACAATCTCTTGTTTATACATGGCATCATATCTGGTGTGTGAAATGTGTTTCATTTGATTTATTTACAAATTTTATGTTTGTCGTGCATGTGGAATTATTAAAATTCAGATACTTGTTGTGTTGGGAATGAACATTGGCATATACTTTCAACATAAGGTAAAATATAAGGCAAATCGAACGCCTTTTTGTGTGCAGATCATGAAATGTACTAGCTCCACGGGTAATTGTTGTCAAGGCATTAATCTTGAAATCCAAATTCTTACTTGGCTAGTGATATCTTTAAAAACATGTGTATCTAGATGAAAGTTAACTCGGCAACATGCGCCATCCCATTCTTTAAGTTTTATTAGGTGTTTACACCTCCTATACCCGATTCCGCGGATTCAACGATACCCTAATATCGAGTATTATACGCGATTTCACGGATTATACCCGATTTCGAGTATTCTCTCCGACCTGTTTAAATGGAAAAAAAATGAAATTGTTTTGTACTTTAGATGGGGATGTAAACTTCAACAATAAAAATGATTTTCTTTTTGGTATGTTAAAAACTGAAATTAACGGTTTCGACACTGTAATAACAAGCAAATTCAAATAATTGTTAATATTCATGTGTCCAATAAGAATACCCTATTATATGTCATTCAAAATTGAGCCCCAAAATGAATTTTTTTGAAAATTAGGTCAAACATGAAGTCAAGGTCAAGGCGTCAAAATCAAAGCATGCTCGGAAAGTCTTAACTGTAACATTTATGATCAAGGTTAATTTTTTTTGTGACAGACGGACAGACAGACGGAAAAAATGATATATTGTCAGAAAAACGAGATTTATGCCCCTGTGCTTTCGCAAAACTGAAGATTGGTGTAAATATGCCTGCATTGATTACAACTCGTACTGTATTTATGAAGAAAAATATTATAATTTTATTATGTGTACATAATTAGAGTTGAAACTAAATGTTTATTTTGCTGAATCGAATATACAGAAATTCAGTAATCTAATTGCATATTGTCATCACTGTTTTTTCGCCTTTTTAAATGTCGATGTGAATTGACTCTGTGGTGTAAATTGTTCAATTGCATGTCTGTTTACGTGTTGAGCGGGGTTAAAATGAGTATTTGTGTGCATTAACATTATATGGTAAGATGATTAGCTCACCTTTTTAAATGGTAGATTTTTTTGAGGGTGGGGTTATATATTGATGATGTCGACAACATGTATTGTTATATGCGGACTTTATTAATAATGGCTTTTATTGATAATACTTTCTGTGACTGTACAAATATTAAGTTTAATAATTTTAATGTTTATTTTATGATTATCTTTCTTTGGTTCAATGTATAGATGTTGCTTTAATAACGTGATCATTATTACTTTTATATAAACCATAATTTTTGTTCATTTGTCAATCTGTTGGCTCGCGTGGTTCTGAATAAGAACAATAGTTCCTGCATAAGGAAATAGGTGCCAAGAAAGTCCTGAATAAGGCAAACATTACTGAATAAGGAACGAGAAGCGTTTTCAACCTGAATAAGGTTACGACTTTATGCTGTACAGTGCTGACACCATATTGTTTGTTGATGACAGACTTCCAGTAAATTAGATAAAAACTTTATCTTTTATTTCCAAGAATCTAGAAATTAAAAGAATCCCGTAACAGTATGCACCTATCGTTATTACAATTTTGGCTACATCGACACATTTTGTTGTCAGCAAAAACAATTATATAATAATACAATCCTACTGGAGCTGGTTATATGTGTCTACCCTCATTCCACTATTCCCTGAAGTAGATTTGTTCATGTAATTGGTGTGTACATGTCACATTCATTTCTCGAAGACCATTTCAAGCATCACATTATTGAGAGTAAATATCATTTCCCTGTTCACATTGGCGCCAGTGATTTATGGTTTAAGCATCTGAAATTAATTTTTAGATGAATAAAACAAGATGTGTTAATGAAACACTGATGTCCCCGTATGGCAACATAACGAAGGTTAGATTTTCTCAAATGAAAATCAAACTTGTTGATACCCAAAGGTGGGCTTTCTCACAAGAAATACAAATATGAAATAAAAATCCTATCACATTCTGTTCAAAAGTTATGTCCAAGGTTAAGGGTTTTTAAAGGTAGATCAAACTTTATTGTCAAAGGGTAAAGGTTGTTGTTTTCTAAAGAAAGAAACAAAGATTACATATGGGAAGTATGAAAGTTGTAGCCCTAATCGTTCAAATGTTATGGCCAAGGTTAAAGATTTTTAAAAGTATGTCAGGCTCCAGGGTGAGGGTCAAAGGGTCAAGATTATTGATATCCACTGAAAGGTCTTTTCACAAGGATAACATATGTAAAGTATGGAAGCCCTAGCCGTTACCATTTAGAAGTAATGGTCAAAGTTAAAGGTTATTAAAAGGATGTCTTTAAAAGGTTTTCTATCCAATGAAATGTCATTTTATTTTGAAAGCCATTAAAGGGTATTGCCAAGGTTAACTTTCATTTAAAACTGGTCACTCCAAGGTCAAGGTCAAAAGGTCAAAGTTGTTGGTATCCAATACAAGGTATTGTCACAAAGAATACATATGTGAAGTCTGAAAACCGTAGTCTTTACCGTTTAAAAATTATAGCAAAGGATAGAGTTTTTTAAAAGCAAGTCAGTATCCAAGGTCATAGTCAAAAGGTCAAAATTGTTAGTATCAAATGTCATAAAAATTACATTTGGGAAGTATAAAAACCTGAGCTCTTACCTTTCAAAATTTATGGCCAAGGTTTAAGTTTTTTAAAAGTAGGTCAATTTCCACGGTCAAGGTCAAAATTTCAAAGTTGTTAGTATCCTTTCACAAATTTCGTGTGAAATATAAAAACCTTAAGGTTATGGACAAGTTTTTTTTAAAAGTAAGTCAATTTCCAAGGTCAAATTCAAAAAGTCAAAATTGTTAGTATCAAATGAAAGGTCTTGTCACAAGGATTACATTTGTGAAGTATAAAAACCTGAGCTCTTACCTTTCAAAATTTATGGCCAAGGTTTAAGTTTTTTAAAAGTAGGTCAATCTCCAAGGTCAAGGTCAAAATTTCAAAGTTGTTAGTATCAAAGTTATGGCCAAGGTAAGATTTTTTTAAAAGTAAGTCAATATCCAATGTCAAATATAAAAAGTCAAAATTTTTAGTATCAAATGAAAGGTATTTTCACAAGGATTACATTTGTGAAGTATAAAAACCCTTACCCTTACCGTTCAAAAGTTATATCCAAGTTTAAGGTTATTAAAAGTAGGTCAATCTTAACTTTAAGGTATATGTATGTCATTCGTCAAATTTGTTAAATCAAGGATTTTTTGAGAAGTATATTTTTGATCAGTCTCATATACTGTGACTTAAAATCGCAGAGAAAATTGGTGTCAGTGTGCATCTTACTGATCTATGGTACAATTAAATTGACCTTTTTGCACATAAATTTTGACTCTTTGGTTACTTACTTTAACCTTTATCATATTTTATCAGATGTAACCATGGCAATAAATATAATTTATAATTTTGAACAATATTTATCATTGAACAAATCTTGCAAATTAATGCGCGTAAATTATTGTGTGACATTTTTGCAATAAAAAGTAACATATTTGAGATATTGAAAAACTAAATAGGAAATAAACATTTTCTTAAATCAAGCTTTTTACGGCTTCAGTACTGATCAGTCACAAATATCGAGTACTTTAAAATAATGAAAGAAAAAGTTGGGGTCAGTGATGTTAATTTTGAAATGTTGGTCAAAATATGTGATTTTCAGGCAAAAAATGGTGTAAATTTTATCTTGACTTTTTTGACGTATCTTCATTTTTTGGCAAAGGTTGTTGAAGGAAGGTGATAAACTTGTTCTAAAAATATAAATTGAGACCAATATTAAATATTCCTAGCAATATCATAATGGAAAATAATATTCTCCGAGTAAAAGTATCTGAGGCTAAAGTTCCAAGATATTAAATTTGATATATGTGCAGATGTGCAGAATTATCTGTTAAATATCCTTCCACCACAAGAAATAATCCCTCATAAATCTTGCTTTTTTTGTAGCTATTTGAGCAGTTTTTTGTTGAATGTTAGAACATTAACATTGTTAAATTTAAATATGTTATAAAAATTGAATTTTAAGAAATAGTTTTGAACTAAGGGGTTCTGCGTAAACTTCTCTAAAAGGCTAACGAGTGACATACCTTAAAAGTTAACTTTTTTTCTTAACAACATCAAAAGGTTAAACTTGTTAGTATCCAGTGTAATTACTTGTCACATGGATTACACAAGTGAACTATAAATACCTTAGCCTTTATCGTTCCAAAGTTATGGACAAGGTTAAAGTCTTTTAAAAGTAGGTCAAAATAATCCAATGAAATGCCTTGTCACAAGGATTACATATTTGAAGTTTGAAAGCCCTAGCCCGTACCGTTCAAAAGTTATGGCCAAGTTTAAAGTTCGAAAATTTGGTGTAAAAGTGTGTCAAACTCCAAGGTCAAGAGGTTAAATTTGGTGGTGCCCAAAGAAAGGTCTTGTCACAAGGAATACACTGTGAAATATGAAAGCCATATTCCCACCCAGTCAAAAGTCATTGGCAAGGTTAAGGTTTTTGCAGACAAACAGAAAAACAGACAGCTAGACAGACCGACGGACGAACACGACAAAAACTGTATACTCCCGAAACTTCGTTTACGGGGGCATAAAACATATTAAGACATCTAAAAAAACTCCTAGTTATCTTAAAGCACCTTTCCGTTGCCATTGTGCATGCCTTACCGATATCCAAAATGTGTGCACACAAAATATTCATACATGTATATACCCGATACACTTAACGTAGGTTTAAGTTTTTTAAAAGTAGGTCAAAATAATCCAATGAAATGCCTTGTCACAAGGATTTCATATTTGAAGTTTGAAAGCCCTAGCCCGTACCGTTCAAAAGTCATGGCCAAGTTTAAAGTTCGAAAATTTGGTGTAAAAGTGTGTCAAACTCCAAGGTCAAGAGGTTAAATTTGGTGGTGCCCAAAGAAAGGTCTTGTCACAAGGAATACACTGTGAAATATGAAAGCCATATTCCCACCCAGTCAAAAGTCATTGGCAAGGTTAAGGTTTTTGCGGACAAACAGAAAAACAGACAGCTATATACCGACGGACGAACACGACAAAAACTGTATACTCCCGAAACTTCGTTTACGGGGGCATAAAACATATTAAGACGTCTAAAAAAAAACTCCTAGTTATCTTAAAGCACCTTTCCGTTGCCATTGTGCATGCCTTACCGATATCCAAAATGTGTGCACACAAAATATTCATACATGTATATATCCGATACACTTAACATATTTCTCTGAAGTCCATTTTGTTATCAATGTCTCTTGTTGTTATGCTAGAATCTGTTTTTATGATGAAAATCGAATGTGTTATTCAAACATAAAAAATTAGAAAGAAAACTTGCATAAACTTTCATTGTCTGAAATGCAATGATTTAATGAATGGATATTGTAAGTAAACAAAAATGCAATTTAATTTATACATTGCAAAAGAATCCTAAAGAAAGATTTGAAATACATCTTCTGTAAATAAATACAATCAAATAAAAATAACAATGCAAGACAGCTAACAATCTACATCATACATCAATAGTAACTAAAAAACTTTTCAATATATATATTAGCGCAAAAAATCATTGAGAGATTTGACCTACATTTTGTGGAAGTAAATACGATCAAATAAAAAAAACAGACAGATTAAAATGTACATCATATTTTAGGAATGTCACATGTAAATTGCATGTGTATGGTTAAATATGACTATTATATTATTGGTCACTAAATATATATAATCAAACAGTGAATAAAGTAATCATCATATGAACATTTTCAGAAGTTTCTTATACAGCCGGTACGTCACTTTTCTTACATTTGTCAGCAATGCATTCTCGGAGTCTGTAAAGGCCATAAACAAAAAGGTGGACCAAAGGCACAATAAGCAGGATGATACCGAAAATCCAGAGGAGTCCGTGTGCAGGCGTCTTCACCCAATCCATGTATGGATAAATCGCTTTACCGGAAGCTACCGAGTAAATCGAATTGAACAGGAGGTAAAGGAACATATAAATCATTGGTTGGTAAACATGCAGAATCCGGGTTTCCTTGCCTCCCATTAAGATGTTAAAAATGATGTAGAAGGAGCTGAATATTTGTATTATAATGCTTGGGGCGTCATCACCTGTGAAATATATGAATTATCTGAATAAGCATATAAAATGGCACAAATGGTCTGACAAATTTTACCATTAACAGTAGTGATTGCACATAAAATTCATGATATTAGTAAAATTAATTCTTGAAATTAAAAAAAAAAGATAACGGGAAGTTAATCAAGATCTTTAACGACCAGTTGGATCCTTTTAATAAGTTAGTGGTTTCTGGAGAGATGTCTTCCAACAATCTTTTGGAATTCCCATATGGGTCTCATTATTAGCAGATCCTTTTTTTGTTTTTATATGAAGCAGACTTTGACAAAAATCTTATATTTGAAAAGAAGAAAACACCTGCTGTGGCCTTCAACTCAACATTTAGATATATCTACGATGTATTGTCAATTAACAATTGTTATTTCCTTCCTTATGTCGATACAATATATCCTGCTGAAATGGAGATAAAAGATACCACAGAATTTGACACATCTGTTTCATATTTGGATATATTACTTGAAAAAACATTAATTGTAATTTAACGACCAAGCTCTATAATAAACGTGATGACTTAAACTTTTCTATCGTCAACTTCCCCTCTCTATGCAACAATATACTCTTATCACCTCAACACGGGGTTTATATCTCTCAGTTGATTCGATACGCAAGAGTATGTCCTACGTATGTACAAGTTTTAAAACGAAGTAGATTTTTTTCAAACAAATTAATGAGACAAGAATTATTGAGTCCATTGATGATTGACGTTTTTCATACTAATTGTTAGGCCCTTATTTACACACTGACTTGACGATGGATTTTCCCGTTATTTCCCAATCATGACGAGAAGGTTTGGTTTGGAGGTCCGTGTTTGCTCCTGCTTTGTACTGTATTGTTTTATAGACTTTCGAGGTTGAATACTGTTCGTTATCTCCACAAGGGACTGAATTTATGAATACTTTCGAATATCATGAAGTGGTTCAGTACGTAGTTTAACTTACGGAAAGTTACAAGAGAGCCGAGGAGAATGGTCATTGTCAGAGTTGTCACGTTTGTAATGTTGTACGTCACCCACAGTAATTGCTGATACCAGGGAGTGTCCATCAAACCGGCTGAAATATAACATGCATGTATTATTTACAATCATTTCTTTTACTTAACACCCATATCACATAGAAACTACACTATCTACCTGCAAAATCTTGATAATGTTCACATCAATAATATAACCACCTTCCTCTTTAAAAATGAATAATGTGTATTTCTTTAAACATTGGTGTGTAAGGTTATGTCACTTGTCAAATTCATGTAGAAATGTATTATCTTATAGTTTACATCAACATCTTATGACGTCATCATTTTGTTGTTGTTGTTTTTTATAATAATGTGCAATGCGCTTGTGATATTTTTTACCTGGATCAGGAACAAGAAGGGGTTGCTTTTTCAGAAAGACGTACAATGTAACAATGAAGTCTAATACCGCATGGACAGCAAGAATGAGGCACACCCAATTAGACAGGTAAAACGGCCAGGGCTGGGGGTAGGGAGCTAGGTCTATTCTGTAGTATGGCATCAGGATCAAATTGACTAGATGAAAAACGGCCCATATCCCTGCCCATATTGGGTAGAAAAACATGTGCATCAACTGGAAAACAAGAAAGTGTCTGTAGTATAGGCATTTGAAATAAAATTAAAATCTCAAAAGTGTTACAGTACATATTACCGTATAACCGACTTTTTGACGTGTTCGAAATATTGCAAAAAGGGGGTAGAATTGTGCGGTTTTCATTTTATTAAGTTATTTTTTGAGATCTAAGATTTTGTTTTTAATTTTTTTAAACTGGTAATGTTTTTATGTCACTTTATAGCAAGCATAATTTCTGCGTGTTTCATATTTTGCGAAATAAAAATGATCGCAGAAAAAGCGAAAAATAGAGGAATGCGGAAAAAACGGATATACGGTATTTTATGCTAATTTTGTTTTATGCATATCTTTCTACGTAAATCTAGGTGATAATTAGTTGAATTCTGTGATATCTTAACCGAACATGACAGAGTTAAAGTATCTGAATCATCTATCAAATAATACATTTTTACGATTACATCAGTGTACTCCGAAAAGTAAAAAGTTTCCTTTTCCATTTTTCCTCAAAATATATTTATTACTTTAAACACTATTACTGTACCTTAGAACAAAATGAATTTTTATTATACGTAAATATTTAGAAAGAGATAAAATACTTTCATAGAAGGACTTACTCTAGAAATGACAAAATTCCTTGGCTCGGCATGATCGAGTTTTAAACACTTAACCTGAAACTCCTCCTTCACGGTTTTCACCATCTTCGCAAAAGAAAATATGTATAAAAATCCGTAAAGACTTTAGAAAAAGTAAAAAGTTTGAAACACGGAGAATGCTGTAGGCAGAATAAATAAGGATCTAGATGCTTGTATACGAAGTCCTGTTTCATGAATTAATTTATTCAAATCAGAGATATAACTACAAAATATCCGGAATCCTCGAATAAGAGTTTAATAAACATGTTATCAATAACGTGTATGAATCGAGTTTTCATTTCATACAAATATTATGATTTTTATTAAAATGAAAAAAAGAATTGTTTGAGTTATTTATATTGTATGCTGCAGATATTTTTTTTAATTTTTGGTGAACATTATTTATTTTGTGGATTAGCTTTTGATCGATTCTAGTTTTTGTACGTACATGTGTATCAAATATGTAGAAATGATTCTTAAACTCAAGACATCAAGAACTATTATCCGCGTCATCTTTTGATTCACTATTCGTCAGTTTGAAATCTATCCCCGATAATTAATTTTCGTGACTGCGGAAACATTCTCTGTAAGCACAATATACGAAATAAATTGTTCGCGTCGATTAATATATGCGAGTTAAAGAAAGTCGCAAAACTACCGGACATTTCTCGCACGCGAAAATGGGAGATAAACAATGCAAGAGAGTACAGTATCTTAATGTATTGGGCAATAACAGATTAGCGATTGACTTAAAAATATTAGGGTTTTAGTTTGTTTTCTTTTAAATGTTGTTTTTGGTATGCTGTAAGTCAAATTGTTGAATCAGTATCATTTTTGTTTTAAATAACATTGAATAATTGATTCTTATATACAAGTATATCTGTTTTTAATTTTGATCATTACTTTTCATTTTCTATTTCTAAGTCATAATCTTTGCAAAGTTAACATGATAACGAACTAGTACGTATTAGGTGGGGTCAGTGCTGTTAGTTTTGAGATTTCGGTAAAAATACGTAATTTTAATGCCAAAAAGAGCTTATATTTTATCTTAATGTTTTTTTCCTGGACAAAATCTGTTCAGTGGATGCGTTTTGTTTGTTTTGAATTATTCATTGAAACCTATGATAAATATTCCTAGCATATACAGTGTAATATTGATGAAAATTCTTTGAGTAAAAAATGTACAGCTTAAGTTCCAAGATATTCAATTTTTTAAACTTTATGTGTATAGATTTAAAGAATTTTCTTCTAAATATTCTTCCACCATGAGAAATATTCCCTCATAGTTCTTGTTTATTGACATTTTTAAAAAAAATGAATTTTGTATAATATTTGTATTGGTTAATTAGTTCCAATGTGTTTTAAATTTCGGTTGTCAAAAATTTTCTAAAACAAGAGATCTAGACTCTTGTTTTCTCGTGTTTTGTTATTCTACAAAAAATTTGTAGAACACTTTTCACAGCTTTGTAAATGGACTTTACAGAATTATGCCTTGCTAATAATAAACAAAAGATTGAAAATGTTAGGTGCTGTTTTATGTATAGCAAAGCAAGGCTCATTATCTTTTGTAATAAGCAATATTTGTATAGTGAATAAAGGGTTTATTTAAATAAAGCGTAGAATGTACATGTAATTGTGCAATTCAGAAGTTAAACATGAATAACGAATCCTACACATGTTATGTATCTGAAAATGCTTTATGTCTATGCTTATATCATTATACTTGATTACATCAAAAATGCCATCAAGTAAAACTCAATATGCTTTATTTACAAATATGATTATTTTTCTTGTTTAAACCATCACATGGTTTGTAATATTATATTTATTTATCATTGAACAATAAGGGACTCCACCAAAGATTCATATCTATGCTTTATCAAACTCATACATTGATAAATCAGTGTAAACACAATACAAAGGTTAACAACGGAATGCAGAGGGAGGCAAATAATGAATAATTTTACGAAGTCTAAATTGGGTGAGTAAAATTAATTTCATTTGGAAGGATTATGAGATAGAAAGTTTTAACATTTATACATATTAAATTTATCTAATCTAAATTTGAATAGTCTATACATTGGTCAGATCCGTAAGAAACAGCTTTGAATGATAACATCCCGTATATAGGATATAAACCCCGGATGTATGTATCGCACTTATTTGACCCCTCACCTAGCTAGATTAGAATTCTGATAAATAAGTGGATGCTTGAATATACACACTTCAAAGAACTGTACTGTAAATAAAAACAGTGTGTTTTTGTGCATGATCTTCTTTTGTTGCTTTTTTCTGCAAAGTGTTGAATTTAACCTTTTGTCTTTGAAGGAATTTTTGCTTAGTTTTGTTTTTTTATCAAAAGAACGATAATAATCGTTTGACTATTTAGAAAATTTTATGATCGAAAAACTAAATGAATTATAAGTTTATATGAAAACATGGATTAAACCAACAGAGTTGCGCGTGAACTTGTTTTGAATTTTATAGATTGATTCAAATAATTTTGTACAACAAACATTTTACAAGAATTTTCCCCTATTACGTTCGAAACCTCGGACCTTTCTCTGTATTGGGATTCGAACCCGCGACTAAGGGTGAACTCCTCAATCCGCGACCTAGAGGGAAAGTCATAACCTCTGTGCCACTCGAACAGACTGCCATCTTGATCACCGTGGGATCATGAATATCATGAATCATTATTATATTTTATCAAGATAGCTTAAAGCTATTTATGCATTGTGTATCTTTATGTACCGCATTTTGATGGCCAGTGGGCCTTTTCACAAATTTCTTTACAACTAAGAATAAGAATTTCACCCACCTACAACAAATATCTATTGAGCTGCAAAGTTCTTTGATTGCAGTTTTTTATGTTTGATGATTACATTGTTAATAATGGTTTTCAATACATATCAGACAATGCACGTTTATATGTTTGCTGCACTTTTACATGTTTCGATATCGTTGTCAATCGTTGCTCATTCTTACATGTAATATCTCCCTCACATTTAAGAGGCACATCTTAGGTTAAGTTCAGCATTGTTTCCTAAATTACAACTTAAACAAATGTGATAACCAATTGTAATAATAAAAAGAAAGAGTTAAATCACAAACCATCTATAAAAATATATGCAGTTACCACTATTTTTTTATTTTACAGAAGATATATTTCCTCACGATTTTTTTTTCTTACTTTAAGAAAATTATTGTTTTTCTTTTTTCAGGTGTATTGCTGTTACTTATAACCATCATTTGTCTCTCTGTCCAGAACATTTATTTGAGACAAAATCAAATAAACAGAAATGAAAATTTCTCTCTGCAGAAGAATAACCAAAATGAGATTCCATACCACTCGACCTCAGTATTTCTCCACAATGATACGAAAGAAAGAATGCTTACAAAACATGTTGACGTTTTGAAAATATATACAACGAAGTCTACATTTGTTCGCAATGCACATGCTTACACCGCAGGGAATAAGTCCATTGCATGCATGACATTTAATGGGAGGATAGGGAATCTCATGTTTAAATATGCCTTTCTCCACGTTATGTCCAAAATTAAGAACTTATATCCTATATTTCCCGAAGATTTTGAGTTGTCTAGATATTTCAATTTACCTCAATATGAATCTCAAGAGCAGAGTGCAAGAAGACAAGAATGCAACACAGTTGTTCGTGAAGCTGAACGATGGCCGTGTTCTTATGATGAGAAATTTTTCAAACTCTCCAAGAATAAAAGAGTTTATTTTCATGGATATTTTCAGTCGTGGAAGTATTGGAGGCAATATGAAGATGAAATCAGGGAACTTTTCACATTCAAGACCGATATTCAGGACGAAGCTCAGGAAAAACTATCCGCTATTTTATATGAAATGGGATTCAAAGACACGTCAGAGGATGTCGTTATTGGTATTCACTCGAGAAGAGGCGATTACGTGTCCAAACCTGCCAAAAATTATGGCTACATCACACCAAATGAAACGTATTATCTCAATGCTATGACATATTTTAGGGAAAGATTTAAAACAAAGAGAGTTTTCTTTATTGTTGCTTCAAATGAGATTGAATGGTTAAAACAAAAACTTCATGAGGAAGAAAATATTTCTTTCCTGCATGACAATGCTCCAATTATTGATATGGCTATCTTATCTTTGTGTAATCACGTGATTATGTCATCCGGGACGTTTGGTTGGTGGGCGGGGTGGATGACACGTGGTACAGTTGTGTATTATAACCATCTATATACCCCTGGCTCTTTATTTTCCAGTGCCTTTCGAGGTGGTGACACTTCTGATTTTATTTATCCTGGTTGGGTCGGCTTAATGTAATATATTTTTATGAAGCTGAATGCATGTAAACTATTTTATTTATAATAAATGAAGCTGGAAACATTTCTTACAAGGAAATAATAAAAAAAACTTTGTAATTACATTTTCTGTAATATTTCCAAAGCAACATTCATTTAATTATATAATCTTGTATTTTCATTGTTCAAAGCTGTGTTATACTTTATTATTAACATTATTACAATCAGAACGTATAGTTCTTGTTTTTAATTTCTGATCATCTGCGTATGAAATTCATTTCTACAATTTGATTTGATACGCATGATCATGTTCTACGTACATCCAATTTTATATTCGGGGATAGTTCTTAACAAACAAGTCATAAAGCATGAATATACACTGAACCAAACTTCTAAGTGTTCACCTAACATTTTTGAAGTTTTAAAGAACAAATGCAAACAATAAATAATTTCTTTAATTCCTGATTAATGATGCTTATTTGAGTTGGATGTTGCGTAAATTTCATGTAAGTTTTTAAGCAAAGTGTTCAAGGAAACGAAGTACCCTCAAAATGAAAATTCACATAAAAAATCTCTATGGAGTAGACCATCACTCGCTCTAAATACTACAAGACTGTAATAACAGTTGTACCATGTTGAATAGGAGATTGTCCCATTATTAACATTTGAAATTGTGTGGAAAAGGGGGGGGGACACATTTCTTATAAAATCCCAAATGTGTTAAATTGGATTCAGATCCGGGAATTTGAGAGTGTAGCATCACACAAATTGCCTTTTGGTCAATATCCTAAGGTGTTTAGCACGTAAGTGCACCTCTTTAAGGATAATTCAGACTGTTTGAGCTGATATTAGACTGTCACGAGCACCGATTTCTTATCATTTTCGTACGATTGAAATTGTTTGTTTTCATGTTTCTAAGATTGTTTCAGGATAATTTAACACTCTTTTAACATGGTGTGACGCGAAATTTTGGCCTCAGACGAAAATCAAGGTCACTTCCGGTTTGGTTAAAATTTGTCAAAAACCTTCAAATTGTGATAAATTGGTGATGAAAAATGACACACAGCCTATAGGAAAACGTGTTTAAATGGGTTTTGATACTGGTTTTAATTTTTAAAAGTAATATCAAGTACAATTAAGCACTAAAATAAAAGTGAGTAAAACGTGGTGCAAAGATTGTCCAGATATCAACATTCCAATTTTATATTCAGTTTGCCAATATTTTGTGTTTTTTAGTGAAACCATTTTTTAAAATTTGATAATAATCACAAAAAGATACTAATTATACAAAACAAAAGTCATTTATTATTTTTAGCATTGGTTTTCAATGATATTAATTTTCTTTCAACAATTGTTGAGAAGACTCATTTGTTGTAATAATTTGAAAATATCACATCATTCTACAAAGTAGTTTTTAAATAAATACATTTATTAAAGTGAACACTTGGAAGTTTTGTTAAGTGTATACAGTATCTTTTAAAATTAAGATTTCATTGATTCCTATCCATGGTCGATACAATGACCTTGTAGGCTAATGCAATCTCATTAGTTAAAAATTCTTACTGATATTTTTTAAATCCTTTGAAGAAATATTTTGTTGAATTAAAAGAAATAGATTACTAAAAACACTTCTACATACTAGTAAAACAGCAATCTATATTCAACATGCAATTTAAATTCATAAAAAAATTTTTATTCGCTTTCTGGAAATGGTTCCTCGGGACTTTCGGTTTTCACAGACTCGAACATTTTAAAAACCCGATGATAAACAGGTTTTGTCATTCTTTTTATTGGGTTTTAGTTTATTCTTGTCTCACATCTAAGCTCACATCACAAATTAATTTCTAAGTACTGTATTTATTTATTTTAATTTGTTTTTAAATGTCTTAAATTGCTGAACTTATTTTGCTCAGTATATTTTATCCCAAGAATCTCACAAGAATGTATTTAGAAAACATTTAACAAATGTAAAATAATTATTTTTAAACATGAAATACATGTTAATCTCTTTTCTTTTCTGTGCTTATAAGTAAATTATCCACTGACTAGTTGCGGTGTATGCGTTTTTAATCAAAAGGGACTTGACAAAAAAGTCATTGGCAAAAGTAGGGTCCATGATTACGCTAACATCGACAATATCCCCGGTACCAACTCGAACACGATTGTTTCTCCACGTGATCCAGAAGTCTCTAAATGTCGACCCACTTAAAACAGATCCCGGATATAGCAAGTAGCAAGTGGCGCCAAATTTGAATTCAACTCTGATGCATGACATTGTATTGTTCACACCTCCTAATATGATCCATTACCCAGGGTCAGTGGTTGTATTACCGGACGACAGGGCAATATCTGCGTCTTGTGATATCTTTACCTTGAATCGAATCGAGTTTCTTCTTGCTAACGATATCCCTGTGTAAGTCCAAGAAGGGTTTTTCTGTATTGTAAGATGCATGTCTACGATGAAAAAAAGATAATATCATTCCATGTAGGTTATTAAACCAAAAATAAGATAAACTAAATAGAAACCCTTAAAAAGGAATTAAATAGCTTATTAGAAATAATGACTGAATAAAAAATAGTAATTCTGCATATAGGCTAAAAACAGACAAAGTTAGCGGACAAATTTTAATCTGTAGAGTTCTTACTTTTACAGAAATATCTCCAGCCTTCTTCAGAATTCCAAACCCCTGAAGGCAGGAGAGTCATGACATGACACACACCGAATATGACACAAATCTGTCTGCCATTGTGATACGAAAATGCTCCACGATTTTCAAGCGAGGACCTCATGGCACACTCTAAGCCGGAAACGCTTGGGTAGTAGGAACTGACGGACAAATTAGTGTTGACGTCATTCATTCCCTCATTTATTTTCCATTTTTCTTGTTTTAATGAATCTATAGCTACGTAAGTGGAATAAACTAAAAGGAAAATCTTCCTCAGCTCCATGCAAAAGAAAAACAATTAGGTTAGAATAACTGATGTTACGTATACTGTAGATTCAGTTTGATGAAAGTCTTCATTGAAGACAGAATATATATGGAGTATATAGGATGTATGTAGATGAATTAGGGAGACCGAACTCGGTAATTAATATTATTAAAGTTTAATGAAAATTCAGTTTAAAATGCATCCATGTTTCAGCAAAGAGATTGATATCTTTAATTTAAAACAATGTATATTGCTTTGAAGTTAACGCACTTTACTTTATTATTCCTTTAGATTTCACACTGGTTGATTCATTATCTTCATATAAAAAATATTGTAAAATTTAATATTTTATGAAAAATACACAAACCAGTTCCATTAAATAATCACAGCACGCTTATGTCTGAAAACTCGGAAAAAAAAATCACATACATTATGGTATCATTATTGCATATCAAATGAAATAAAAAATTAAAACATCATCAATATTTAAACAACATTGTAATGAGGAATGATTCACTTTACGTATACTAAGAGCTCTAAGGTGTCACAAGGTTTTCAACTGTATCAAACAATGTACATACGTATATCACTCATTTTATCAAAATGCAATAATTAATGCCATTCATTTGTGAATTCGATATACCACCTAAGATGAAATAAAAGACACCACACAAAGTCCATCCCCATAGTTTGTTCATATTTGAATGTTTCACAGACTATAGCAACTGACAATTAGATTAAATTGAAATCTATATGACTTCAGCTTTTCTATTGTCAACTTTCCCTATTCCGCTTTCCCATGTATTTGTGTTTATATCTCCCAACTCATTCTGTACTCGGGAGCATGCTCAGAGTACGATAAATTTTACAAAAGGACAGGCTACTCACAGATAAATGGATGTTACAGGGATTTTTACAACCTCGTTTAAAGTCATCATTTATTGAATACCATGATCATTCATAATATGTGGTAAAATTTTATTCCTATGTCGTTTTTACATATGTTAAAATAAAGGAAGAGTATGCCTAGACATGCTTGCTAGAGACAGTCAATGTATATTTCTTCGTATTGAAACATTGTCATCTCAAAAAATTAACTGACATCAAATGTGTTAAAAAGTATATGTATATTGATTCTATCTACATTGACTTTGTTGGAAATGGAATATTGTAAAGAATTTTAGTCTCAATAAATAACATTGACAGAAAAGTTATCAAATTGCAGTCAAAAATAATGCGATTTAACGGAAAACAATTCACTTTGACCTAGACGGAAACGATGAAACAGTATTTATCTTAAAATGACTGAAAAAAGAGTATTCTCTACAATGCAGATAAGTATAAAAGCCCTTGATGTACTTTTACTTCAACTTACTTCCTTGTGTTTTCGGAAACGATTCATGAGCTAAAAACATAAGTAAGGTGTACAGTATTACTAAGTAGTAGATTATACGTGGGCTGTTCAATAAATGATATCCTGAGCTCTATGACATACAACATAGAAATCATATGACATTAAGCTGGACTTTTTCTTATGGTTAAATCTTTAATGAATTGATTACAGTTTAAAAGTGACCACTTTTCATCACATCGTTTCATTGTGAGAAGCTGGAAAACAAAGGCTATTCGAGACGCTGCATTGAAATGAATGATATAAAGAATCTGTAAACTAAATAGAAATTAAACGCGATATTAAAGCTGTTGTAAAACTTGTTAAGAATCACAATGAAATGTTCACTGAAATATGTGAAATTAACAGTAACCAATGTCTGTTTAATAGACGCATGAGCAGGTGGATATCAATGAACAACATTATGTAATGGGCATAAAAATGGGTACCTTTCCTGGCAAATAAACTGTTTGCCAAAATTCAACAAATTATAACTGATGATTTTTGATTGTCTTAAAGATACATAGCAAATTTAATGAATATTATTTTGTGGGTAGTTCACACTATTTCAAAGAAATAGTTGACAGTAAAAAAAAGCTTAGTACTCAATGGTCACCATGTGTTTTGAAAAGTGAGTGAAAACGACAACAAGTAACAATATCTAAAAAATCACTTTTAAAAATAAAAAAAAAATGTAGTTATGCACGTTTGTCTAAAATTCAAACAGATAATGAAACTTGAAGCTAACCTTGCTTTAAACCCTCAAAACAAATTTACAATAAGATGCACTTGACAAAAACAGCAAAGGTCGGAAAAGAGCAAAGAATCACAAGAGCACAAAACAGTCTTATATGCCGTTTTCCTAAGTGTAAGTGGTCTTGTGGTTCAAATTCTTGTTTGGGGAGGCAGTTCAATTTCTGGAGGAGTCTAGAAAGCAAAATTGTTGCCAAAAAAATCGAAAGGTTTATGAAAGGAAGTAACCAGAATAAGGAATCTACTGCATTAAATTTCTTCATGTCAGCGTCCAATCCCGGCCACACGCCATGAAAAGTAAAGGAGTTTGGGGGATCAACAGAAAGTTATAGTTTTGTCACACCATTAAATTCGCGAGATCTTTCACCCTTTGATTTGTTTCATTTTCCAAAGGAAATCAGAAGATCTGCCATATTCAAGTATAAGAAGGGCCATACTCAAAAATTTCTTCTAAAAAAACCAGAAATTGGATAAGAATTTTACTGACACTTGTTTTAATTAAAAGAGAATATTAAAGTGAAATAATTAAGACAAAAGCATTGAAAAGCGTAATTTGTTTCTTTCTGACTACCGAGGAAATTATTTATTGAGCAGTCCTCAAAGATGATAAGTATTGGAGGAAAAAAATAGTCTAATGTAATGTTTATTTATATTTATACTATGGAAAATATATTATAATCAGATGATTTTTTTATAAAGAAGTTTTTTATGGAAATGAATCGGTAATTCTATCTGGATATAGGAAAACAATATTCTTCATAGGAATTAAAACCCAGATTTTGAGGTCTATAGGTCTTTTTTACGGAAGCCCAATAGTGCAAACCAAAAATAAATAAAGAAAAACGAAATTATTAAATAAAGAAAAACGAAATTATTAAAATAAGAAAAACGAAATTAATATATAAAGAGAAACAAAATTAATATATAAAGAAAAACGAAATTATTAAATAAAGAGAAACGAAATTAATATATAAAGAAAAACGAAATTATTAAATAAAGAGAAACGAAATTAATATATAAAGAAAAACCAATTAATTTATTAAGAAAAAGAAATTATTAGATAAAGAAAAACGAAATTATTAAATAAAGAGAAACGAAATTATTAAATAAAGAAAAACGAAATTATTAAATAAAGAAAAACGAAATTAATGTATTAAGAGAAACGAAATTATTAAATAAAGAAAAATGAAATTAATATATAAAGAGAAACGAAATTATTAAATAAAAAAAAACCAAATAATTAAATAAAGAAAAACGAAATGATATATTTAATAATTTGGTTTTTCTTAATTTAATAATTTGGTTTTTCTTTATTTAATAATTTCGTTTCTTACTTTTAATAATTTCGTTTTTCTTGATATATTAATTTCGTTTTTCAATTAGAAAACTGGAAAAAAAAAACGGAATTTATAGATGTGCATGGTAAGGGCCTGAACCCATGAATCATTCCATAAAGCGCACATGTTATAAAGCATCACCTCGTAACTCTTTACGCCTTATCTCGACATTACAAATGTGTAGTGGAAATGAAAAATTAAAGAAGATATAAATATCAAAAAATTAACAAACGTAGAAAAAATATGTGCACACAGCCTAAAATTCCCATTTCCGTAAACAATTCATAATTTATTCAATTTTGTTTACGTGAATTTGTTGCTGTTCCATATCCGCACATTATTGTTGGAGTCTGTAAGCCTGGACTTAGCGAGGATGGCTGTTTCTGTTTGCATAAAATTAATGACATTCCAATAAAGCTCGTGAATCGCGAAAAGGTCAAGACCTTGAGTATCGTATTACTGATTTCCCATGAACATAACCTAGCGTCCTGTCTGTGTACCCATACATCTTAGGTTGTTGAAACTATAAAGAGAAAAATGATTTGATTACTTTGTGGGATTTGTTTTATGCAAGTGTGTGCATTGTTTGTTCACAAATATCACTGACTTATAAATACAGATTGAGAGTTTGTCATTTAGAATATGGGAAATCAAGTTCTATAGTAGTCATAAAGTACCACTGACTTATAAATAGTACAGACTGAGAATTTGACATTTATTAAGACCAGGACATCAGAAGTGTTTTGCTTTATTTCTTATACAGTGAGCAATCATTAAAATCTACTTATTGTAACCACTTTGACTTGTTTAATTTTTTTCACTTGTTCTCTTTCAACATTTTTTTACAATATCAAACAAACCCACAAAGACAGATCGGTAACGTATTATTTTACGGCATTTTCTAATGCATGTACTAAATGTTAAAAATTCAACAGTACATAACAACGGAATCTTAACCTTCATGTTTATCTTAAATATTTGTGCAATTTATTGATTATCTCTTTAATATTTCATTTCCAAAGTCATTATTTGCGTGTCAAGATTCATTATTTGCTGATCATTAGACCTTTCGAGCAGAGGGTTTAAGAAAGCTAATGTTATTAAATCAATTGTTAAAGTCAACATCTCACCGAATTACTGGCCAAATTATCAGACTGGTTAAAGTTCACATTAATCATGTTAATGCATGATAAAAACACAAATCTAGGCATATTACTATTAAGATACTAAATGTTAACCATTCATGTACAAAGAAATAACTGAATATGCGATGGGGTCTAAGTCAGAAACCCCATTCTGTATGCGATATTCGCTAATAAAACCGATGTATAAAATTATTAAAGTACCGGCATATTCTAAGAAATATATAAGGATTGCAATACAATCCTCCAAGAATAACCTATTGTGTCATTAAAAATCTGAGTTATATGCTCCTCTTCTAACTAATTTAATAATCTGTATAACAGATGTGCAAATAGGCTCCTGATGATGGCGGATTTGCAGCTAATTAAAATATCAAAATCTTAAACCTCGTATATATCACACCGCCGAAACACTAGATTAGTGTCGAGTCAAGTGATTTGAGGTACGTGGCTGATGAGAGTCACGTGCACTTTCTTTGAAACATTATTGTAATGGTTGTGTATTCGATGTGGGAGTCGGTGAGTGCAAAGGCAAACAAAATCAGGTCTAACAGACGCGTGCGCTAATGATTTATGGGTTAAGGCCCTTATCATGCACATCTGTAAATTCCGTATTTTAGTTTCAGTTTTCTACTTGAAAAACGAAATTAATATATAAAGAGAAACGGAATTATTAAATAAAGAAAAACCAAATTAATATATAAAGAAAAACCAAATTATTAAATAAAGAAAAACCAAATTATTAAATAAAGAAAAACCAAATGATATATTTAATCTTTATTTAATAATTTCGTTTTTCTTTATATATTAACTTCGTTTCTGTTTATATATTATTTTCGTTTTTCTTTATTTAATAATTTCGTTTTTCTTTATTCAATAATTTCGTTTCTCTTTATATATTAATTTGGTTTTTCTTTATTTAATAATTTCATTTCTCTTTAAATATTAATTTCGTTTTTCTTTATTTAATAATTTCGTTTTTCTTTATTTAATAATTTCGTTTTTCTTTATTTATTTTTGGTTTGCACTATTGGGCTTCCGTACTTTTTCATCAATGAGTGATCGAGGCAAAACAAAAGAAGAAACAATTGGAAATGTTTTCATTTATCTGCCTTGAATCTTTAATTCATTTTTTTTCTTCCAAAAATTATGTGCTATTCGACTGATTATATGTTGTTTCAAGCCTTTTGAGAACTTTTCAGCCACAAATTTAGACATCATTTGGCACTCGAAACCATAGAACAATCGTATTCACGTCTAGTTTGCAAAACCCCTTCATCAAATCAGAATTTAACAAAGAAATTGGTTTCAAAGGGATTCTGCGGTGAACATACATGTAAGATTTGTTTTCCTATTTGCACTTTAGCTTTCACACATTTCTGAGTGTTGTTTGAAACAATACATTTACAATTAATTTCAAAGTTAAGAGGTCTTTGGAGCTACCTAAAAAATGTTGTATGAAATTCATGTGTGAAATATGAAAGGCATAGCCGAACCCACTGAAAAGTTATAGACAAGGTTAAAGTTTGTGCAGACAAACAGATAAAGAGACAGATAGACGGACGGATAGCGTAAAACTATATATTTCCTAATTTTCGATTTTGGTGATTAAAAAATTAATCTTAAGAATACAGGGACCAGAAATAAGCTGTTTTTTTATTTTGAGATTATCGAGGATTTTTAACGATCGATGTTCGAGCCATCGAAATAACCTGTAAAAATATGCAAATTATCTCTATTCATTTTACATAGAGAAGAAAAATAATATATGTCTATAATAATCGACAAGACATCCAATTTAACTACAGATTACAAGAATAAGAAGCAGAAAGAAATTTGAGAATGGATTTTGACGAGAATATAATAGAAGTTTGGGATGGTTCTAATCTTATTCCCCAATCAGAGACAGAAGCAGAAGAAACCGAACCAACTGCTTCAGGCAAGTCTCTCTCTCTCTCTCTCTCTCTCTCTCTCTCTCTCTCTCTCTCTCTCTCTCTCTCTCTCTCTCTCTCTCTCTCTCTATATATATATATATATATATATATATATATAATAGAACTAAAAGGAAAACTTTTTCATGAGATAAAGTGAAAGATGCTGTTTACCGTCCGGGTATTTTAATATAATAATTACACATGTATTTTTGAACAAACAAAAACTAATTAATAACTAACCCTTTAATATAAGAGGGGTGATCAAAAAGTTCGCGAACTATCTCTATATTTACGAATCCACAGTTCAAATCAAAATTAAATTTGGCACACCTAGAGGCATATGTAACTATGGAAACTCAATCAAACTTTTCTGCTCACGCGTACATGTACAATAGGGAGGAAGAATTAATCAAGGTAGGATTCTTCTCACCCAAAACTGTATTTCCTGTATTTGAAATTAATGAAATTTTCACATAATCAAGAAGACAATATTTTTAAGTGATGGTATCAATTAGATTAGTTTTGACCGTTTTATATTAGAGTTAAGGTCAAGTCAAGGTCATTACCTTTACCCTGGTCATTAAGAATAAAAATAACTGCATCAAATCATGAGATAGGGTCTTCTATCTCAAAATATTAAATGTTTTTCTTTTTGCATAAAAAGATATTACTTTATAGGGTCTATAAGATGATCCTACCTAATTGACACAAAATGGATTTTGGCTAATCCGAATTTTCTCTATTTTTCTTAAATTTTTAGAATATTTAAGTTATTTTTAAATGTGCACTATATTTAGATTTTTCTTATTTTCACATATGGTAAAGAAATCATATAGAGATACAAAATGATACAAAAACAAAAAGTTTTGACCGTTTAGTAAGAGAGTAAAAACACTTTCTATGGATTTTTGGCTCATATCTGTATTTAGATTGGAAGTTTTTAAAAGCTAACATAATTGTAGTTTGTTTGGAAATTCATATTTATTTGATAAATTTTAAAGCTTAAGTTCCTTATTATTAATATAGCTAACATTTGCAATATTTTTCTAGTCTTTGATTGTGTAAAAATTTTGACCTAAATTCATTGTTCTATAATAATTTTGAGGGGCAGAAATGAAGCTATTTTCATTCGACACCATTCCGCCAAAAATATAGTCCCTGCTAGTTTTCGAACATAATTTACCATTTCTATTTAAAGTTGTAAAATTGTGATGAAGAAAGAAAAATATGGTCTTTTAAATCTCTTTCACCTAAATATATAAGACATATAAGCAAATATACATTGAACATTTCATCTACTCAGAAACTGGAGAGGCATCCTACCTTAAAGCGATATTTTATTATAGGGCATACTGAAACTATTTTTACGTTTATTTTTCTCCATAAAATAGATATTTTTACGTTCTGAAACCTGTTATTTTCTGAAACCAAATACTTTTGGGAATTGAGAAAAAATTACACAGATTTTGCAAAAATTCTACATTTGTCAATTTCCCCCTTTGTGCGTCACGGCTTTTCTTTAAGCGAATGTCTTAGAAATTCTTTTGCAGTAGTAGATAATAATTTGCAAACGTTTTATGAAGATAAAAGATTAACCACAGGTTTAGTTATTAATTGGATTGATTGTTTTAAGAAAGGATGGGATATGATTTTAAAAAATATGTTTGTTCTGTTGCACAGTGAAAGCAAGCTGGGGAAGAGATGTGTCCTTTGTTAAGCAATTTGTTATGCAAGATCGCCAACGTACAGTCAGAAAAATAGTTGAATATCTTAACAACAATAGTGTAATTATCAAATTCTTTTTTAAAATCGTCTATTTTAGACACTAAACATATCAGATTTGATAGAAACGGAACACCCATACTTTATCCACATTGAATACATGATGTTCCAAAGACAAAGGGCTCGGGTTATGATGGAAAAGGATATCCTTATCCACCCATACCATTGTCGAGTCTAAGCCATTTAATAAAAGTGGACTGTTTTCGTTATTTGATGAAAAATTTGCATTGGTCGGAGAAATCTTTAAGCGTTTGTGACAGAACGCTACGGAGCACGTCACGTGAGCGCCCAGATCACGTGATTCGCGCATTGGTGGAACGGTTGCAGTTGACTTCTTTTAAAAGACATGTTTAACACTTAAATCCTATATCACTTATTTCATGGAAATTATTCAATTTTAAGATTAATTGAATTATTTACTTTCATTTTTTTTTTATTACAGCTGGTGACAACAAAAGTGACGTCAAATGCTGTGTATATTTGATGACATTGTTTTCCTTTGGTCTTGTCTCCAGCACGATACTATGTTTACGATTTCTATCTGATTTATCGAAAGAAGTACATGGCGATACCGAATACCTATACCCTCTTTGTCCAATTCTAACCACCATTGCTGCGGCTGGAAACTTTTGTTATCTCGTTTTGGTTATTGCCACCTTCCTAAAAAGTGGCTGTAAGGGAAAGGTCATTGTCTCTGTGCAAAAACTATTTTTTCTTGTCCTTGGCTTTTTCACAATCGCATCTTTCTTAGCTGAGGCATTCAACAGTGAAAACTCCTGCCCGTTACTATATATCATTTTGTGTTGTACGTTTACGACTATTCAAACGTTTTACCTATGTTCAAGTGATTCCCATTTTCTTCAAATATATAAACTGACCAGTGTTGCATTCTCTATTTTAATGGCGGTAAATTTATGCATTTGGCTGGATACAGAAACAGAGGAAATTTACAACATTTTCCATATATCTGATTCCGGTAATTTTAGTTCAAATGCTACCGGAAATGCAAAACAGAAAAGTCTTTATGACGATATTTCAGATGCAATTGATCCTTTCTCAACACCATTAAAGATCGAATATTTTCTCATGGCTTTAGAATTACTGACATCGAAACTGGACGACAAAAACCCTACCTGCATGGGACGAACTCACTCGAATGAAGTAGTGACAAACCGAAATTGTCTTCAGAAGATTTTATTAAAATTAAATGATAAACAGCAAATCAAATTTACAATTAAAGGAATCTTTTGTTTCCTCATTTTTCTATTCGTTTTATTTGCAATAATTGTCGTGATTGTTAAACCTAAGCCTGGTGAATTGAATATGAAAGTATACCATGTTTATTGCAATACTGAATTTGGTTTTGAAATATTACAATTTTTGTTCCTTTTGATAGTTATAATTGCAACCTATCCTTGGTTTTGGCAGGCAAACATGCATTTGGACACAATCGTCTTCTCAATATGCGCCTTTGCAAACATTTCATATAATTTTTTTAGCTGTTTTGGTGCTTTTTCAATTAGACAAAACGTTGGAGGGGCAAATGCAATCCTTGTAATGCTAAACACTTTCCTTCAAACTACATATCTGGTTGTTCTTAATCATAATGAGAACAAAGAAACCTACCAGCAGCACTTGGGCGTTATGTTTTTCCTGCTTGCCATCAATAACTTAGCATTTTGGATGGTCGATTCCTTAGCACAAGAAAGATATCCTCCTTTTACATATTCATCACAAAAATTTTACAATGACATCTGGTGGAAAATATTCAATAAAATTGTTTTTCCACTTGTGATTTTCTACCGATTCAAAGCAGCGATGTATTTCTTTGAAATGGAGACAAAGGAGGACACGTGCACTAAGGATATGAGCACTCAGTGTGACAGCGATACAGAAATAGAAGATGAAGAAACAGTTGTAAAGGATACAAGTTAAAAATTCAATCTCCATTTAATGTTCCTTAACATAACACAAAGACATATTGTCAACCAACTCCTATAGCAATTTTTGAGTTAAAAATGTCATGCGTTAATCTTGAAAAAATATCTGTTTCAATTAATATTTGAAAATATTTCTGAATAATTTAAATATTTATTTCAAAGTGAATCTTACATATATCGGTGACAAAAGTAAGAAGAAAAGTATGTTAATTAAATGGAAATGATTTTAAGGAGATATGTCTATATGCATTAATTAATATGCTTGATGAATTATGTGAAAGATGAAAATATGCATAATAAATTTACTGAACATAAATGATCTAAAAATTGACTTGTTTTTCTTGAAAGGATCACTTCATTATAAATAGGGATCTGACCTATAGGACCGGGTTTGGTTTTTTTTCTCTACAAAAAGCTTGTCGATTTCCGTTCCGATTAATGACATTAGGCTAAATACATATAATAATTTGTTTTTCCTGAATTTTTATTTCAGTTAGTACAGGTAGGAGGAACCCTTTCATTGATTTTTTGAGTTTGTAATTTCCATATGTACTAACTGATATTTGTCTTTACTTCTCATGGTTCATAAAGGTAGTGTCTACTGTCTCTGAAATTCTGTTTTCATGTCTAGGACATTTATCCGTGGATATAATAAAACATGCAAAATTATATAGACCTAAATGATATCCAAGGGAATGCATTTACTGAAATATGTAGCCAAAGTCAATGTGATTTAATTATAAGGAATATATACAATTGAAATTCATCGCAGCTCAATCCTGCCAAGAATACCTATATTGAGGAACACAGAGTGAGTTATTCTTGTCCTCGAAGAAAGTGTGCTTATACTGAGGTTTGTTCCGCCTGACTGAGAACTGTACATTGGATTGTTAGGATTTGATATCTCTTTTAGTGTTTCTTATATATCAAGAATGGGCATGCATAAAGGATAGATAATTGAAGGAAAATACACAAATCTATATAAAAAATCTAAATAGTCTTTGAAAAGGCGAAATTTAAAAGTTTAAAAGTGTTGTACCAGGTGGATTCGAACCCCCGACATTAAAAAGAAAGTATCCAAGGGTGCAAAAGTCAGCGCTTATATCAACTGAGCTAGTCTGACTATAAGAATGAGTGGCATAAATTTCAAGCAGGTGATGAAAATCAGGTTTCCTTATTTTTTGTAGGTTTTCTGTGAATTTCGACCCTAGGGCAGGAGTGCCCCTAAAAAAATCTTATCTTAATTTATTCCTTACATCCTAACCTATGAAAATATCACAATTTTATTTAGGGGCAGGCCTGCCCTGAAGGACTTAAGGCCAAAATTCATGCAAAAATCAATGCTTTTATGGACAAAATGGTGTTTCGGTCAACTTTGGAGGTTTATTGTAAAGTTGTAAATAATAAATTTGAGGTATCAAATACAAATTTGAAAAATTTAGACATATATACGGTAGAAAACAACAAATAAAGATTGATTTTTAAATGTTGTTTTTTCCGGGAAATTGTTCTCTCCTATGGGTCAGTTCTTTTGTTAAAGCGAATACATCCTTTCATTCCAAACTGCCTGTTTTCTTTAATGAAAAGAATATACTTTTTTTCTTTATTTTAGTAAATTTCACTTGTACGTACATTAGGATTATTAAAATGACAATGAAATTTCAAATAATAAAAATTTGATAGGTTATAAAATTGAATACAGAATTACAGATCTGAAGCAATATACTGCAAAACAGAGATGATCAACCTCAAAATTCCAATGAAATACATGTAATACAATCGAGAACAGAGCAAACACGGACATCTAAAACATCCGAATTGGGATCAGGTTCAATCGAGGAGTAATCATTGTCGAGTGGTCCCACCGGCTGTTTACTCTTCGACAAAATCCGTAGACAATCAGCGCGTAAATAATGGTCTTAAACTAACAATAAGTATAGCTAAGTGATAGATTGTATTTGCTGATAAGTTCATTGTATCGACCATAAAACTTGCGAAATATTGATTTTGAACGAGACTTTTGGTATCCTTGTTTAATTAACTTGTATGTTAATAGTCCATCTCGTTTTAGAAATTGTTCCTAGTAGACCATGCCTTGTGTATCAAATCATCTGGGAGGCATAAACTCTATATGCAGGTTTTAAAGGTTTACTGCTACATAATAAGAAAAATTGATAAAAGCAAAAAAAGTTGATATGGCGTCTTTGGTTTATATCAGACTTAAAGTTCTAATGAATAAGTGTTTAAATGTGAAAATGCATGCACGATTCATTTTCATCTAAAACTACTATAAAATGTACAGCTACGGAAAGAGGTACTGTATGTGTACATAAATCTGCGCATTCAAATTTTAGTGCAACCACTGGGTATGGCGTTGTTGGCGTAATTATAAATTAGCGCCATACACTTCCGCGCCGTATATTGTGCTTATAAATCATTTCTTAGCGATATTCATAAATTAGTGCATCAGTGTCCCTGCCAAAGCCCCTAAAATATGAAGCCCGCTTTTTTAAGTACACATACAGTAAATCGCAACATTTGTTTTTGTTTCTACATTCCGAGAAATCTTTATTTCTACTGAATGTAATAGACCATTTAAAAAGAATAAGTTATTAGTGAAATTGGCTAGTTTATTGCAGTAAGAGGTATCAAAATAAAATATAACTGCCTTTAATTTCATTACAAAACTTACAGGTTAGATTCCACACTCCCCATCCCAACAAAATATGGGAAAGTTATTAGAGTTCCTTTCTGATGCAATATTTTTATTAAATTATACGTATAAATACATTTTAAAATTTTTCTTCAGTGTATATAAACCTTAACATTTGACAGCTTAAATGTTCAAGAATGAACTCAAACTATTTCTTAGAATGAATTTTGACACATTAGAATTACATAAAATTGTAGAAATTTTCAAATTAACTTAATTAAGGTACATAAATTTAGCATTATTTGTGCGGTAAAAATGGTCTTTAAAATGGTATTGCTCGCTACAAGCAATTGAAAGGGAGCACAAAGTTGTAACAATTTTAATATACACGTTCAACGTGTGATTAATGATAAGAAAACGCTTTGGTCAATAAACAAGTCCACCGAGTACACGTCAAACTGCAATGCATAAAACAACACAGACTAATAAGTTTATCAGTCATCAGTCTGTATTAAACTTCCCTTTAGTGTTAACCTTATAATGATGTAATAATATTCCTATTCAAATGTTAGAAAAAAATATTATTAAGATGTAAAATTTGTGGTCTTTACAAGCATTGGCACAGACCAATATTCAGATTTGGATAGATTTAATATACCTTTTCGCACTCGAAATCAAAGAAATTAAAGAGTCAAAAACAGTTGTTTCATATTTTGATATTTGAGAGAGTAAGACATTAATAGCAAACTAACAACAACACTTTATGATAAAAGTCATGATTTAAAGAAAGGAAAACCGACACATTAAATAGAATTATCAATCATTTATTACAAAATTAAAGAAGAGGTACATACACAAACGATATTGAGTGTGTTACGTAATAAATTCATATAAGATAACATATAATGAGGCGATGCTTTTTGAGAGAAAATATCACATTTTTGACTATGCTTCAAAAAATGCATCCAAGAACAAAACTAGTGCATTTGTGTCGTAAAAAATAAAAATACTATTAGATAGTTCATAAAATTTTAACCTAGAAATGAAATTTTATATGAAAATATAGAAATATCGTAAATTGTAACTGGTAATAAAACGGGGTGAACAATTTTAGGCCAAAACGTATGAGTAACTATCAAAATTGTTCTTAAAAAGGGAATATAATTGGGTGTTTCCATCATTTGTTATTTGTCAATTTGACATGATTACAACAAAGAAATATTATAACTGAGCAAATGCTTTGATAGATTATTTCGTCAAATAATAATAAGAATTGTAGAATACTTTGGAATTATACGATTCTGAAGTTACCGGTATCCTTTATCAGAGGGACGTTGGACCTTACAGAACCTACATTATGCTTTTATGGTTTTATTGGTTAATTAATTGATTTTATAGTGTTTTACGTCCCATTCGAGAATTCTTCACTTATACAGAGACGTCACCATATGCCGGTGAAGGGCTTCATTTTTTGACATTTAATCGGCACTCAGGGCAATGGAGCAGTGAGGGATCTTTATCGTGCTAACGCCTGCTGTGACACGGGGTCTCGGTTTTTAAGTCTCATTTGAATGACCCGCAACATTCATTTCAAAGTGCCTAGCGCATGGTGAAAGAACAGTTGCTACATGTACCTATTTTTTATGGACTTAGGCCAGTCTTGGCTGAGATTCGAACTCAAAAACTTCCGATAACGTAACAAGTGCTGTACCGATTGAGCTACCGTGACGGTTTTATAGCTTTAAAGTTCTAAAATGAAAAGAGTACATGTAAGTGCCATGAAAAATGTTCATCGTCTGTTTGCCTTTCTAGCTATCTGCTTGGCAGGCGGTGAACTTTTTTGTAATTTCGAAACACATTAACTCTATAAATTTGATCAATTTTCAACTTATTTGGTACGCATGTGAAACATTCATTATATTTTTTTATCAATGAGAGTGTTGACGAGATTGATAAATCTAGATTTTTAAAAAATATTCTTTCAAAAGACAACTATGATAATGGCAGTATTTTATTCAAAGTAAATTTACAAATAGACTTAACCAATACCAGGTATATGTATCTTTTTATCAGATTAATATATATATATATATATATATAAATTATATATAAAACTTCAACTAAATAACTTTATTTCTTCCTGTGTATTAAGTACAAGCCAGTAGAACTAGTCAGATATTTCTAGTTTTTACCATTATAAAGCAACTCTAAAACAAAAATAAAACCAACTTAAATAAGAAATATTTGTGAAACACTTATGCCCCCCCCCCCCCCCCTAAGTCCAAGGGGTATAACTCTGTAAAAAAAAAATAATAGAACTTGATTATTTTAAAGTCCACAGCAGGTGTGGCATAACTCCCTGCTCAATGGCCCTGAACATAGGCCCAAATTTGCAGCCCATCACCGGCAATGGTGACGTCTCCATATCAGTGAAATATTCTGGAGAGTTGACAATCAATCAATACTTCTGATAAATCTGTACAAATTTCAGCAGCAAAAAGGAAAATGAATGGAAACTGTTGGTGGAACGACTGACAGAGAAGTTGACCGACATACTGACTTACAATCAGCAGCAAAGCAATATGCCCTACCTTCTTCAAAGGGGGGCATAATAATAAAATTGTATAATTTTGCTTTTTTGATAAGCATAGTTATAACAGTTCTGTGCCACGTATGACTTTACGAGTTTCTGTTATTTCTGTTATATGACCCAATTCTTGAAGGTAAATATTTAGCTTCTCTATTGCGATACATGTAATTAATTACCTATAGCCAATATGAATAGCAAAATGTAAAAAAAAATGCTAAAATGACACGGTAAAGCATTTCCCATCATAATCAGAAACTTACGATTATTTATCATGTCCACTTTTTTTAACATATATTCTATGCATGATAAGTCAGAAGGCACTGAATTGTGTTGCCCGTGAGGTTTTCTGAAAAAGCGTAGGAAAAACCTGTTTGTTGTCCTCTACTTCTTATTACTGGGGTACACCGACTATGACGCCATTAACAAACTTACAGAAGGAGGTATGATTAGCTCTGGCAGGGGCTAGAATGCTCACGTTTTTGCTTGGACCACTGTTTGCTCTCAGTTTTACAATGGCTATCTCCAATTTTTCCCTTTTCACCTGTAAATTAATGAGATAAAGGAGATATATGTTGTATTATGTATTGAGCATTGTTTTTTGATAAGATTGAAGAAACCTTGTACTTGTGCTCACATTTTGATACAAATATATAAAATTGTAACCTATAGACTACTAGCTGAGTGATGCATAAATACAGATTTGTCAAAGGTTCAAATATTCATTGTGTTCAATGGCAAAGGTAATTATTAAGTGACATGAAGAATAATACAGTTCATGAAATAAAATTATCACCGAGCAAATACATAGCATTGTATGATCACAAATGTAAAATTAAGTAAAAGGGTAAAAAGCTTTATGGTAGATTTGTTCAGCTATTCTGATCTCAAATGATGTCTTTGAACGGGATACTATATTTTCTGAAATATATTTCACATAACTGACAAAGCAGTAGATAATTTCATTCTTCAGTCTCTGACTCTGATCTCTTATGCTAGTATGTTTTCACATCTCTTAATAAATAAAGTTTAAATTATATTATAAAAGTTATTGTTTAAGAACACATAGAAATATAACAGTTTTTAACTCTTCTATATTGTAGTACTTACCTTCACTGCTTTCTGCAATACGACTTTTTGTGACACCGGTACAGGGAAGGGTAATATTTGATGTCTTATGGCATTGGAGATAAAATGTCTGAACTCTTGTAATATCCTCTGCAGAGTTTCAGACGCCTTGTAATACACAGAAATCTGATCTGACGGATTTAAACCTTCCTATAAGAAAATTGTCATTTTAAAATTCATGTGAATTTTCTTTTTCATTAAATTAATTTAAATGTGATTTGCTCTGCAGTTAAATTCTTGCGCCTTCTACATGAGTTAAACAAAAAGAAACGTTCATTATGTAATTGGATTCGATATCGTACCCACAAAGAGTTATCAAGAATATGCAATATGTGATATTTGAGTAATCTGAGTAAAAAAATTCAAACAGCAATGTAAAACAGACAATCAAAAAAATTTTTTAAAAAACCCTCTTAATTTATTTTTGGGTGAATTAGTTTCATTGTTAACTATAAATTCTCTGCTTTGTATATTAAAATATATATTGACTGACCTTTTTTCGTAGTTTCTGGACTCCTTTGATGACCTCTCTGGCTAAACCCTCATTCAGCATGTTCTGATCTGGACTTATGTCGATTAAAACTAAAACCTACAAAAAGACAAATACTCAAGTGTCAAGGCCCTTTCTTATGCACCTATTTAACACCAAATGAACACTTTGATTCAATTACAATCAGAGAACAAAACAGAATTTTTACAAAGTTTATGAAAAAGAACCTAGAAAATATTATTTTAAAAACGACACATGACTCCTTTTTCTCTAATTATATCTCCTGCTTTCATTGTATTGGGAAAAAATTACATTAAAAATTGATTCAGTTGGGCAATCCTATCAAATATTTTCATCTCAGATTGCATGGAAATGGTTGAAAATACCAGCTCTCTATCAATAATCTGTTTCAAAAAGATTTACCTCCTTATTCCAATTTGCGTCGTACGAACTTTTCACCTTAGCTCTGTCGCACTTCAACATTAATTTAATGTCTCTTCTCCCCTCACATTGCCCTGAGTGTCCTCCCGTGTGGAAAAAATTGCAGCTCTCCATTTGACAGTTCCTGTACACTCTCTCAATATGACTAAAAAATTCTGAGAAGGGTTTTTTTACAATCAATTAATCATTCATTGCATGGAAATTAACATGCATGGTCTCTCTATATATCATCACCAAAAAAAATTTACCTGTATACTGCATGGGTTATTTTCACCTTATGTTATTTTCGCACTTCAACATTAAAACAAATTTGCCCCGTTTTGAATTCGCCCAATCGTAGTTTTGTTTAAGAAATTATACTGAAGTTTTTTAATTCGCCCCGTTTTAAATTCGCAGCCTTGTGGTAAGGGCAACATTTTTTTCAGGATCGTTAACATGCATGGTCTTAATATATTATCACCAAAAGAATTATTTTCTTTTTTAATTCAAAATCATAATCAGAATAATTGGAACAGTTACTTTGTTATCGTCCACTTACTTTCATTTTTTCTGCTAATGACTTAAAGTTGGTTTTTGCAGCAAGATGTGCCCCACAATCGGACTTTTTCTCAGTTATTCTGACCGTTTGTACATTTAGTTCCTTCATAATGTACGACTTGAGTGATTGAATGTCTTTTAAATTCTCGGGGTCACTTTGGATGACGATGAGCTCTTTGAGAGGATGCGTAAGGGGTATTTTGTTCTTTGCCCTTATAATGCGTCCCAGTTTTATGACAGATTGCATGTGAAGCACGGCTTTTTTTGGCTGCATTGTCGGCCAGGTCTTCCCTAAAGATAGGAAAGTTATTTTAAATAATGACTTTTTAACATGTTTAATTAAGGCCTTGTGAAATAATCCAAAGTATAACTTATTTTTTAGTAAATTACTTTCTCCCTAAAAAAAATTCTAATAAATATTTGAATTATAAGTAATAAATTCTGTTTCCTATAGAGTTTTAGTGCTTAAGAAAAACATACAATCTGTTCATGTAATTAATAATCTAAGTCGTAACATTTAAGCGTCGAACATTAAAAAATTTTGAAATGATTGACTTGAAAAATAAAGGCTTAAATCATAATTCTTTATCATTGCAGAAGTAACAAGGCAGATGATAAATTAGATGAACCAGTTTCAATTGAAATTAATAAAACAAGTTAATCTATAAGGCTTGGAATTGATTCCATTTCTTACCGGTAACTGGGTATCATAAGGAAATGAACACTTCTAGTGTCATGTGTTCCCACTGACTCGGGATCGATAAAATTCCTAAGACCCTGGAACATATATTCCGTGATATATGGAATCATTGGAGCCTGGAAATATTCACAGATTTATAAAATCATGATCTAAATGATAACAATGAAAATGAAAAAAAAATTTCCCTAGCAGCACAAATTAATATATTGAATGTTTTATGCATCTTCCAAATATAAACCAAGTTAATTTTTAACCCTTGTGGTATATGATCAAACAACTTTCATGCAAAGAAAGATGAATTTAAGAAATAACAGTTTATCTAAGGTTATGATATGACAACCTACTAACACCAATTTGAATTCTCACCAGAAGTCTAATCATGGTCATTAGAACAGTGAATAAGGTTTCCAAGGCCATCCTACAATCAGAGGGGCCATTTTCTCCCTGAGAATTTAAAGAAAATAGCATAACAATTTACAGAATTTGTAATGTGCTTTAACAATTCATTTATTGAAAGGTTTTTCCTATTTTGTTTCCAGAAAGACAATTATTTACCTTTAACTTTTATAACCCCTAGTTATAGTACTGACCCTTAATGCGGTTCATTTGTTATTTTACCTTTATCCTCCTTCTGTTCATTCTAATGTACCAGTTGGTAAGCTGCTTTATAAATTGTACGAGTCTTGGCATCAACGTGTACAGGCGATAAGCTGGAAAATACAGGAAATCTTATGTCATACACAAACAGCATACTGTATAAGAACAAATTTTTGTGGGGGTAAAATTTCGTTGATTTGTCATCTTTTAACCCTATTCAATAAACATGATAAATAGTCATATAAAAGTTTCGTGTGGGATTTAATTTCGTTCATAATGGTTAATAGCAAAATAAACGTAATTTAATCCCAAACAAATATTTCTGCTTTCACAGTATTACTTTATTTAAATCTAATATGAAACGAGAAGGAATGACATAGTGCATAGATCAAAATATTGGTTTATTATCATTATCATAATTTTGAGAGACTTCATCCTTCTAGGGGTTTGGCACATGTCTTGACATATTTGGTGAAACCCTATTATTCCTCAACAGCTTTTGAAAGAAAAAGCAGACGTTCATATAAAATTCAAGTTCACATGCGTATCTTAAGCACAATTAATATTTTTTAAAAAAAAATCCATATAGGTTCTTACCAAAATAATAAAAAAAATTGTCATTTGTTATGGAAACTGCTTATGTCAAAGCATTATTAACCAGAAGTCTCTGTTGAGACTGTAGCTCTACTGGTTTGTGCTTATAACAAAGGATGAGAAAAGAAGCCATTGCTATTAGACCAAAACTGTAGAAGGAGAAAAGGAATTTCACACATTTCTATTTTTAGTAACAATGGCAACACTTTCATCAAAATTAAAAACCGATAAACTACTCTATATATCTTAGAGTAGTCTACTTGTGTGCCAAGTTATATTGCAATCAGAAAAACTGTAGGAGGAGTAGCATTTTAAAGGAATTTCACAGGAAATTCTTTTTTTAGAACCATGGCAACACCGTTCATCTCAAAATTGCACTTCTTGTATAATAGTGTAGACTACTTGTGTGCCAAGTTATATTGAAATCAGATCAAAATTATAGGAGGAGTAGAGTTTTAAAGGAATTTCACATTATATTCAACACCACTAAATCAAAAATGGATGCACTATTTTATGTATCTTTATGTAGTCTACTTGTGTGCCAAGTCATATTGAAATCAAATCAAAATTGTAGGAGGAGTAATGTTTTAAAGGAATTTCACAAAAAAATTCTATTTTCAGTAACCATGACAACATCGTTCATCGAAATCAAAATCCGATGCATTATTTTATGTATCTTTGTGTAGTCTACTTTTGTGCCAAGTTATATCAAAATCAGATCAAAACTGTAGGAGGAGTAGCATTTTAAAGGAATTTCACACATTTCTATTTTTACCATGGCAACACCGTTGTGAAATCAAAAACCGATGCACTATTTTATGTATCTTAGTATAGTCTACTTGTGTGTCAAGTTATATTGAAATCAGATCAAAATTGTAGGAGGAGTAGCGTTTTAAAGGAATTTCACAGAAAATTCTATTTTTAGTAACCATGGCAACATCATTCATCAAAATCAAAAATTGATACACATATTTTATGTATCTTTGTGTAGTCTACTTGTGTGCCAAGTTATACTGAAATCAGATCAAAACTGTAGGAGGAGTAGCATTTTAAAGGAATTTCACAGAAAATTCTATTTTTAGTAACCATGGCAACACCGGTCATTGAAATAAAAATCCGATGCACCATTTTATGTATCTTTGTGTAGTCTACTTGTGTGCCAAGTTATATTGAAATCAGATCAAAACTGTAGGAGGAGTAGCGTTTTGAAAAATTGTTTACAGACAGACGGACAGCTAGACAGACAGACGGACGGACGACGGACGCATTACTATCGCATAAGCTCTTCTGGTCTCTGACCAGTAGAGCTAAAAATGAAACATCAAAATTGAGATACCTTGCATTTCATCTCGAACAAACTTGATAAGTGATTGTGCCAGTGACAGAATCCAGCGATCCATATAGTTGGCTCGTTTCCTGATCTTATGCTCTTTGCACAGAAAATTTAAACAATTTTCCTAAAACAAAACCATACAATCATTTCAAAGCAAAAAAAATCCATTTATATTACACAAAACAGATCCATTGTCTATATATTTGATTTTCAAGTAGATTTTGCAATATGGTAAATTACCTTTGATTTATATTTATTTCAAATCACAATATATTAATAATGTATTCTTTGAATTTTCTATGTAATATTTTATTTGTAATGTTTTATTTGCCCTAACAGTTTTTATTTATCCTTGTCTTTTGTATATCAATATATGAAAAATATTGAAAATTTTAATAACATGCTCTAAACGTTTTTAAAAAGTCAAACTCTTAAAAAATTGAAATTGGAAAATTATTTTTCTTCCCCAATGGATTATATAAGAAAAACAGATTTTTATGTGACATGTTTAAGTAGCTTTGACAAACTCTTTATTAACGTCTCGTATAAATTTACTCATCTATCACATATGTAAGATAACTTACAGTTTGATAATTGTCGACATTTTGCATGAAGAATCTATAGGCGTGATACCAAGGAAGAAACACATTCTTCACCACTCCTTCTACATCCTTCTCCTTGAATCTTAGACCTTCTGCCTTCAAAGCTGGGGAGTTGCACAGATAAAACCTGTAATAAAATACTTGAAATTAGCTTGATAATAGCATAATTTAGAATTGTTATAATCTCTGACAGGTTTCATGATAGAGTGTGACATATTTCATTGTGTACAAATGTAACATACATGCATACATAAACACATCACAACTACTTGGCTTTTAAGAACATTCATATTTCCTTCATGCTTTAAAGAAGTTGTAGTTTTTAAACATATTATATAGTTATTGGAAACTGTACATTTGACATGTTTGAGGAAAGTGCCAAGAACTGTTGATTCCTAAATTGCATCTCTTATTAGAAATGTTTGCAGTCCAGTCTTTCTTTAATACCTGAGTGCATCAGCACCGTATTTGTGGACTATCAGCATTGGATCTGGGTAGTTCTTCAGTCTTTTGCTCATTTTATTTCCATCCCTTTAAAGAATAAGTTGATACATGTACTACAGGGAATTATTTAGAATTGTGTAAGAAAGACTTGTGTTGCTTTTTTATGTCAGTGTTAACTAACATGTCTTGTAAAAATTTATCTTCTGAGACTCTCTAAATTGCTTTGATCAATTATTCAATTTGCTACAGCCATTTTGAAATACAATAAAACGTACTGTCATTGTGAGAAGATGTTTTTTTTGTTGTTAAATATGCATTTAAATCAATGAATTTCAAGTATGTATCATTGCTAATAAAATCCCAGTACAAATGTCATCAGCACATGTAGGAAATATTTCATTCATATCTAATATTTGAAATGAAAAAGGCCATGATAACAAACTGTAATCGGTCTCAAAAAATTGATTAACAATACGAGTCTGTAATCAGGATATAAAACACACACCCCTGAAAGTTTCAGAGATGAATTAGGTTCTTAGGGGGAGTAAACATCCATTTGTCAACCGACCAAATGCACAATTGTCATACAAATTTAGGAATGAAGCTTATTTCAATTTATATTATACGATATAACATAACTTGGGGCAGTTTACGCTTTATAAACCGCGAAACGGTTTATAAGAAAACGTACCATGAGTTGAAATAAACCCTTTAATTTAATTTCAATGCATTTTTCAGGCTTCACATTGATTAAATAATAAAAGTAATGTCAAGCGGAGTAAAACGTTTTTTGACGTAACTCAATGTGACGTAGGCAAGTTATATTATATAAAATAGATAAAATCAAATCAAATCATTAAATTATTCCATAAAAACAAAGGTCTTACAATTGGTATGAAATATGTCAGCCAAATTACTTTCTTCTGTGACATTCGAGAGTTTATTATTAAATTTAATATCTAGCAATAACTTTTTTTATTAATTTTAGAGTAAATAAAGGTCATACAAAAATAATTATACAAATGATACAAAAAGTGATCTTACTCAGCCAAGACAATTCCATTGACGATGACATTTTTGAATGCCGGTTTTTCAAAGAGTAGAGTGGATAGCACAAGCAGTGTGTAGAACCTAAACAAACAAGCATTTGTAAGTTAACAGAACAATAAAGTCTAAAAAGTAGAATGCAGTAGTTTACCAAGTTGATGTGAAAATTCTGAGGATAATCGATATACGATTGTGTTATGAAATTAAACGTTCAAAGAACGTTCAAAGCTAGTGGTTTTGAAATAAAATTTAATTAATGATGATAAATGATAATTAAAAATATGCTTCAAGACTTCTATAAATAATGCTACTTGTACTTTTGCAGATTACATCTAATCATTTCCATTGGTTTGGAAATTATCTAATTAATCAGTATCTACAATTGATTAAAATCCTATACCATCCTCTTGTTTGATCAAGACCCTCAGCAATGATGTCGGCAGGAAAAGAATCATCAAAATCATTCTTCCTTTCGAAGGGATAGTGAATATGCGCATACGGTACGCAGCCAATATCAAACCAACAGTCAAACACTTCAGGGGTACGTCTCAGCAATCCTTTTCCGAGTTTGGAAGGAATGGTGACATTGTCCAAACTAATATAAAGAATTTGAAGTTAATTCATTACAATCTTTGCTTTTATGTCAGATTGCATTGTATTAAATTTATATTATGTAATGATTATTTTGCTACTTTGATTTGAAAAAGTTTTTTTTTCTCATCTTACAATTCTCTGTGGAGATCTGTGACTTCTACACCCGACAGCTGCTTCAGTTCCTCCAATGATCCGACGCAAACAATCTGTAAATAAAAGGTAGGTGAATAATTTGCGTCTTCCACTAAATGTACGACCCTCTTTCTTCTATTTTTGCTTCTGATTAATTTATTTTATTTTTGCTCTCTTACTGGGATAGAATTGTGAAATCTTTAAGTGAGCAAGAAATTACCAAAACTGATTTTAACTGACAATGAATAACGATATGTCTGGAACACCGTAAACTCGAAATATAGTGAAAAGATTCGATTTATGCAATGCATAAACAATAATGAACGAATTAAAGTCGCCAACATTATTTATAATGAATGAACGGCCGACATCAGCTGCATTTTATAACTTCAGAAATCCAATAAAACATTTTTTTCATGGCTGTGAAATTTGTTTTTGATTACTCACGGCATGTACTCATAATTTCTTCAACTATTAAAATGTACTATTGTTTCACTTCTTTATGTTGTTGTTGAGTATTCTTTATCTTACACTCATATACAAGTACCTCTTTTCCATCTTCACTGATCCAAATAGGGATGGGTGTTCCCCAATACCTGTTACGGGATACTACCCAGTCCTGGGGTTCACGGAGCCAATCTGCGAATTTCCTTTCTTTCACAAAATTTGGAACCCTTGAAAAAAAAGTTTTTTTTTTTAATTGTACAGAGGTAGTGTAAAATAAAGATACGTCATGTTTGGTGAACCATTTTTTGAAAAAGGTTTATTATAATTAGGTGATACATATGTTTGTGTAAAGAGGGTATTTTGGTTATGATAATCGACGTTCTCATTCCTCACCAGTATGTTTTCTGGTTGTTCTCTAGAAGATGGGATGCTGCCTGTTCCACCCTTACAAACCAGCTGGGCACAGCTTTGAAGATTAATGGTGTCTCCGACCTTTTCAATAATATGTTAATGTTTGTAATGAAACATACTGATTTTGAAAAAAAAATGAAACCAGGAATTGTCATTTGTTTTTCTTCAACATTAAGTAAATAGTGAATGAAAAATATAATTTTTTGTTTAGTAACTGCAGACAGAAATGAATAATTACAGGGCATAAAATACTTAACCTCCAGCAGAATGGGTATTTATGTTTGAAAGTTGCCTGATGTACCAAACGACCTTTTTCTCTCAAGTACTTAATAATACATTTGTCGGCATCCTATGAAAAGTTAAAAAAGTTTTTTAACATGTGAATAATATTAATTTACGCTGACCTATGTTTAGAACAATACTTGTTGAATTTACAAAGAGTTATAAAATTAATACGACAAAATAATGATAAAGTTAAATGGATGACCTTGACATACAATCCTTTGAAATCTTCAATCTCATCCGTAAATTTTCCAGTTTCATCAACAGGACTTATAATGTCCATGCCTTGGGTGATCACACCATACTTCAAACACACGCGATAATCATCCTAATATTTAACAACTTGCTCATGAATGTAAGCTAAATATCAAGAAATTCTGAAAGACTGAAACTCTGGCCCAGGGATCATGAAACTTCTTAAGCATAATTGTCAAAAAATATTTGTAGCATTAAAATTATTTGAATGTTTAGCAAGCAAAAAAGAAAATGCTTTTTAATTTTGCATCTTAAATCTGCTGTTATATTCTTATACTAGTACTTCCATTTCTTATTTTTCTTTCTGATATAACTTTCTGAAAGTTAGCGGAGTTAATTTCTTGATAATTCTACCGGAATGTAAATTAGGCAGGTCAATATGTCAGGAGCTAAGAAGGCCTAATATGCATGCAAATCTCGTGTGCATCTGTCTCTGAGTCTGACGCTAACGAGGCCAAATATGCATGAAATCTCGTGCGGCTGCCGTTGTGTTTGACGTCAGATGGTGAGGACTATTTAAATTGAGATGGGAATCCTCGTGTAATTTAAATGTATGTCTGCATTTTTAAAGTCTAAATCTACAAATTTATTTCACAATGAAATGGAAATATAAGGAATCACTGTCTAGTTAGTATAGTAAGCCAGGGACATCAACAATAGTGGGAAACATTGGATAATCTGTGGATAACGGGCTTCGCCCGTTATGCAAATTATCCCATGTTTCCCATAATTGTTGATGCCCTGGCATACTATACTAACTGGAAAGTGATTCCTTTCAATAATTAAAGAATTTAATTAAAAACAATTAACATCTTATAGATGATTGTGAAATTTTGACTTAAATCGAGGTCTGTTTCATGATTCTGAGTCCAAGTTTCATGTGACACGAATTTAATAATTTGATTACGACAAAATTTCAATTATACATGTATGTTTCATGACATAGTTAATGATGATATATTCGAAGAAAAATCCAATGCTTAAATATTCTGAATAATGCATTTATACGTTCCTTGTTTCAATTTAATTTGATTTGATTCTAATTTGTTCTTATTACAAAGACGATATATAGTACCTCTCCAAAGTAGGGTGACAGGGGGACAACCCCTGTCCCACTCTTAGATGAAACTTGCTCATCAAGTAGAACTTGAAACGCCCCTGTCTTCTCTCTCATCTGCAAAAGATGAAATATACATGTAAATCAAAAATTATGTTTGCAAGTAATAGGTAGATCCAGTCGATTTTACTGAGATTGGATATGTGTTAAAAATGTCTCTTGACCACCAGGACCGACCTAAAAATGACATTGAATAGTGAAACTTGATCAATAATTTTTCTCAATTTTCGATTTATATCTACATAATTATATAATGTATATAAATGTTGTTTAAGAAAATATGTACGTCCATTTTCTTGAGAATTTCTCATTTCTGAGACCTCTATCGGAAAACTGTTTCATTTTAAAACAAACGATTGGTCAGTCTTAAAATGTGTCCTTTAAACGACATAATATATTTGTAATAAAATGTTATATCTATATCACATTAATTTTATCATTTTAAACACGATATTAACAAAACTTCAAATATCTCAGTGTTAGTAGGCCTATATTAAAAACTTAGTGTTAGAACATAATAAAGTATTTGATATCAAGAATATATAAGATATACTCGTATATAATATACTGTATATAATATACATGTATAAGATATACCTTGCTTGCAATGACAATCTATCGTTAAGTTGAACATTGACCGATATCTTTCATACAAACAGTTAGGACATTTTTAACACTGATTTCCGCTTACCCAACCAGGACTAAGGACACAAGGCCACAGTGATCGGTCTATTGACTGTTTTATCTTATAGTATGCTGCTTTAGTCTCAATCACGTATTTCTTTACTAATATTGAGACGACACCGTATATTGAAAGCCTTTTTGAAATCATTGACAGCTGCTTTTTCATAGATGGAACTCCTAAATTTACTTACGTTGTCATTGGTCATTCGCGAAATTATTTTGTTAAAAAACATTCTGATTGTACACACAAGTACTCTGAAGTTAATACTAAAAAGATGTTTGAGTTTCTGATTGACAATATCTATGTGGATTTTGGAGACAGGGTCTTCCACAATATGTTGGAATCCCCACTGGTACCAATTGCGCTCCGTTATTAGCAGACCTATTTTTGTATTCATATGAAGCAGAATTTGTACTAAATCATATATTACGTGAAAAGAAGAAAACACTTGCTTTAGCCTTCAACTCGATATTGAGATATATCGACGACGTATTGTCAATTAGCAATGGTAATATCCATTCTTATGTGGATGCAATATATCCCGATGAGCTTGAAATAAAAGATGCTACAGAGTCTGGCATATCTGTTTCATATTTAGATATGTTAAATTGAAAAGGACGTTAATGGTAATCTAACTACCAAGCTTTATGAAAAACGTGATGACTTTAACTTTTCAATCGTCAACTTCCCTTATTTATGCAGCAATATACCTATCACCTCCAGACAGCCATTGAGCTGTAAGGGCTATTTATTGTACCAAAAAACTGCAGAGAAGGAACTTCGGTTTTTTATCCGAGAGACCCGTGACGTTCATTTTTAATGTCGGACGCTTGGTAAAGAAAGATGCAATCGCTGTCTAAAGTAAAACTTACATATTTAAAGTATGGAAAGATTGGATTATATCGCAAGCCTTCAAGAGCCAATCCTTCATATCTGCAAAGAATTTTGTTCTTATCATAAATTTTTCATACATCATACGTTTATATAATTATGAGAGTGATCAAAGAGTTCGCGTACTATCTCTATATCTACAAAACCACAATTCAGATTAGAATAAAATTTGGTACACACATAGCCATAAACAAGTTCTATAAATAGCATACGCTGAATAAAGTTTTACTCCTTGTTTGTGACGTCAAATGTGTAAATGACGTCACTATATAGGTCACTTGTGACGAAAAATGGTTGTCTCAGTCGAACTCGTTCAACAAGCGACTGTACAATTTATATTGTATACCTTAGAAATCCCTGTGCAGTATCATATAATAATTTGTACAAAGTTTATTAAGATAAGTGACTTCCTATAAATTCAATCAATGATTGGATTGATCGTTTTAGTGAAGTAAGGCAGATGGTTGAAAATGATACTTGTCATGTTGCCCAGTGAAAGCAAGTTTGAAAAGATATGTGTTTTTAATTAAGCAATTTGCTATCAAAGACCTCCAATTTACACTTTGAAAAATAGTTGAATATTTGAACAATAATATAATTGTCAAATACGTAAGATATCGTTTACTTTAGATTTTTTAAACATATTAGATATGATAAAAAGTGGGCACCCATTCTCTATCCACCTTGAATAAACGTCTCCCGAGACAGAAGATTTGTGTTTAAATCTTCACCATGCTTATTTCTGGAAAGGATATTCTTATCCACCCATTCTGTTGCCGAGATTTGACCATTTCTGACAAATGAACTGTTCTTGTCATAAAAATTAACTTACATGGAAAGAAATATAAAACTCAGAAAAATCTTTCGGCTTTTGTGACAGAACGCTACGGAGGGAGTCACGTGACTGCAAATATCACGTGATTTGCGCATGCGCAGAACGATGGTTGATGTGCAATAAAATCGGATAAGATTATTTTAAAATATAATCAACATTGACACCAAATATTCTTTCTTTTACGAAAGTTATTCAATTAGTTCGCGAACTTTTTGATCACCCCTCGTATATAAAATTCAACATGCTTCATATCATTAAATTGATTCTTTAGTTGCATCCTTCGAATTCCTTCATCGTTTTCTAATTTGTAGAAATTGACAGTTAAAAAAAATTAACCATACTTCTTTAAAACTGTATACTCGTCATTCTTCTTGAATAGAGTCTCCAGTCTAGCTTCCATCATAATGAACACCTTTTCTGTGGCATTATCTGTATTGACAAAAACAGTTCAAATTCTAATAAATACAACAGAGTTCCACAACTGAAACAGCAATGAAGGCTGAATTCGTTAAAATGTATGGGTATACAAAAGCATTTATGATACAAATGTGGATATTTTAATTTCTAGATGCGAAAAAAGCAATTAATTATTAATTACAAGTAAATTACAAACGAAAGTTACCTTTAATTTTGACATAGTTCATATTTGGATTCACACAAAGGGATAAATTGCTTGGCAATGTCCATGGAGATGCTGTCCAAGCAATCAAAGCAACATTTGGCTCATCTAGTAGAGGGAATGTAACAATGACTGCAAATATAGTTAGTGAGTGTCATTCAACTAGTACAAACAGTCAGTCCTCGTTATCTCGAAATCGATGGAACTGCAAAAAATCTTCGACATACGCATAGAATCGAAATTTCAGGCGTAAATTACTGCTTTAAGAATACGTGACGGAAATTTTCAAATCAATTCGACATATCTATTACATCTGAGATATCAAAGTTTGAGATATTGAAGTTCAACTGTATTTATAACTTTACTATTTAAAACGTTTAGAATTTAATACAGTGTGGCTTTATTTTCTTCTTTCAGTAGTTCAGTTACTGAAAGAGTAACATAAAGGAAGATTTATTTTAAATTTTATCAGAATAGTTATGTTACCACGCTTAATATATATTTTGATACGAACGGTATATTTGAAAACTTACGGATGAACGATACTATAATTTTACTTCGATTAAAGAACCAAATTTCCTGTGCTCCATATGTCATGAAATATAATAATTATAGAGAAGGCAAGTAGGTTAAAAAAATCTAATTCTAAATTTCAAGAAGAAAAAGCACAAAATAATGAAAAATCGAACACATTTCTTTTCGCATGATAATCACTTGAAGAACATTTAATTGTCTATGAAATAATTAGTACCTGATGGGTCCTCCACAAGCTTACAATTCTGTACAGCCTCAAAATTTGACAGAGGGGTGTTGCAGGCAGTGGAATAGGGCACAATCTTTGTGTCTTTATACAACAAACCTCGTCTATGCAGCTCTTTAGTCACCCACCAAATGCTCTCTATAAAGGAGGGGTACATTGTCTTGTAGTCGTTGTCAAAGTCGATCCATCGTCCCAGTCGGGTCACGATCTCCTGTAAAATCGCATTTTTGGACCCTCTCTACACCAGTGCAAAATATTCTTTGGACATTGAGAAAAAGTTATTGCATAAAGGAGTAAATATTGTGCTTATCTATGTAATTTTCAATGTATGGTGCGTGGCATTTACCCCCGGGAAAAATGTTCAAAAACAACACAGTATCAGTGAATAGATATCGCTGTTAATTACTTCAATAGAGAAAATACATGTAAATAACACGTTCAGTTAATTTATCCTGGCCTTTTAAAATGTTGAGAATACTTGAATTGATTACAAATTGAGTAATATTGTGTAAATTTCTATTTTTTAGAAATTTCTAAGGGCAGATCACTCTAACTGCAGAAAAATACCTTAGAATCGGAACTCTTTAGTGTAGAGAGGTTTCTTAATTTAAGGTCCGATTGTTTCTTTTGCTTTGTTTATATTTTAAATCTGATCTTATTTCCTTTGCTTTCAGTTTATTGTTTTTGTTTAATTTCATTATAAATGATAATTCATTTATTCGTGATGCAAATTCTTTATTAATAGATTTTTTTTTATTATGGGGATGTAATATAAAAAAATAGTTGCGTAGCATAAAATTTCGGAGGATGAAATAAAATCAGACGATACTTTGTATTCTTTTGAAGCTTCTTTAATGCAGAATTATTCTTAATGGACTTACCTGCCATTCAGTGGAATATCTCATGACAATTTTTCTACATTCATCATTGTAAGCTTTAATCCCCATCTTCCTAACATCCTTGGGACATTTGATTCCTAAAGTTTTGTCTATCTCATATTCCTTTAATAAATCAGAAAAAGAACAAGTTTCAATTACGTCTGTTTTATTAATTTTTTCTGCATATATATATCATACTTATGCATATGTTTTTATGTACATATACAAAGACTGGATCAATTTAATACTAGTATTCATGATTTGAAAATAACTTTATCACATATATGTAGCTTTAGTGCATAGTGCATAGTAAAATATTAAAAACTTTTATTAACGAAATCCAAAAACACATTCACAAATTAGATTACACAAAAGAACGATATGGAGATAACGAACAGTATTTAATCTCGAAGTCCATAAAACAATACAAAATAAGCGCAGAGCAAACACGGACCTCCGAAACATCAGAGGTGGGATTAGGTGCCATGGACATCCCCTGCTGACCGGTAACACCCGCCGTGTGCTCATTGTCATGATCAGGAAATAACGGAAAAATTCGTCGTCAATTCAGTGTATAAATAATTGACTAACCATTGGTATGAAAAGCGCAAGTCAACATTTGACTCAATAATAAATTGTATTTGGTGACAAGGTCATTGTATCGACCATAGAACTTACGAAATAATGACTTTAAACGAGACTGTTGATATTCTTCTTTCATCAACTTGCTTGTCAATAATTTACCTCGTTTTAGAAATTGTTCATACGTACATGTAGAGCATGCTCTTGCGTATCGAATCAAATGAGATATACACACTCCGTATGCAGGTTATGAAGGTATATTGTTGCATAAGTGAGGGAAGTTGCCGATAGAAAAGTTAAAGTCATCACGTTTATCATATAGTTTGGTTGTTAGGTTACCATTAACGTTTTTTTTTAAGATTTTCAAGTAAAATATCCAAGTATGAAACAGATGTGTCAGACTCTGCCCTGTCTATAATCTCAAGCTCTTCTGGATATATCGCATCGACGTAGGAATAAAAATTACCATTGTTAATTGACAATACGTCATCGATATATCTAAATGTCGAACTGAGGGCCACAGCAAGTGTTTTCCTCTTTTCACGCATAAGATTTTGCATAAATTCTGCTTTATATGAATACAAAAATAGGTCTGCTAATAACGGAGCGCAATTGGTACCCATGGGAATTCCAATAAATTGTTGGAAGAAACTGGTCTCTAAAAACCACATAGATATTGTCAATCAGAAACTCAAGCATCTTCTTGATGTCAACTTCAGAGTACTTGTGTGTGCAATCAGAATCTGTTTTTGAAAAATAATTTTGCAAATGACCAATGACCAGGTAAGTAAATTTACGAGTTCCATTTTTATTGAAAAAGCAGCTGTCAATGACATCAAAAAGCCTGGATTTTAATTTACCATGGGGAATTGTTGTGTATAAAGTTAAAAATCGTAAGTTTTTAAGCTGTTGATTTTTGTAAAATCATGTTACTTCAAATTGTCCAAAAGTTCTTTAGAATTTTTTAGAATCCACATCTGATTCACACCACTTCTTGAATATATAGTTGCACAGTACTCTAGAAGTTTTTCCTTTACTACTGTTAATATCTTAGTGAGGAATAACGAAAGAGGCTTGGTTAACATTTACTGGAACCCGCAATGTATCTTTGTTTGTAAGGATTCTTATGAAGTTTCGGAATCCAATATATATGAGGTAGTTCAAATTCATTTTGGCTGTGTGGAATATCAAAAATATTCAAAACTGACACATGTTTTTGAAGAATTTCTTCCTTAGAAAGGGAAGTATGAGTATAAGTGGATTACCACTTGTAGATAATGTACTAAAGTACATATTTCACTGTCATAGAAATAAATCATCATTTAGAGACAAACGTATATAGAAAAATATTGCCATATGTTGCAATCGCGTTTTTTTTTTAATCTTTAATGATATAAGTTTGGCAAGAACTTTGGTATTCAAATCTTTTAAATGAAATACAAGTATGAAAATGAATAAAATTCATGGCCAAAAGTCCATTAAAACAGTGAAAATTGGGAGGAGTGCAAACAGGGGCTTATAAACATCAGAGGTGGGATTAGGTGCCATGAAGGAGTGAGCATCCCCTCTTGGCTGGTCTCACCTGCCGTTTGCTCCTTGTCATGACCAGAAAAACGGAGTCTGTATAATGCAGTGTGTAAATATTTTCCTAACAATTAGCATGAAAATGTCAGCCAGCATTTGACTTAATGATAGGTTGTATTTGCTGACAAGGTCATTGTAACGATTATAGAAATTACAAAATGATGGACGATATTGTTAATTTAAACTTCTTTGTCAATAGATTACACATCTTCGCTAGCCAATGGATTCTGATACGCTAGCAAAGATGTAGTCTGCATCGTTTTAGAAATCGTCTGTATCGAATCAACTGGGAGACATAAACTTTATATGCAGGTGAAAAGGTATTATGGGAATTGTGAGTAGAAAAATTAAATTAAGTCATCACGTTTATCATAAAGTTTTATTGTAAGAAAAAGCAGTATCGTAATTTTTTTTGGTAAAATAACCAAATACGACCCTGATAAACGCAGCAGTAAACTGATAAACACAACAGTCTGCACCTACCACGGGGAGACCATGACAATCCCATCCAAACCTTCTCTCCACGTGGTAGCCCGTCTGGTGAGCCCAGCGGGTAACTACGTCCTTTACTGTTCCTCCCAGAATGTGTCCATAATGAGGCAATCCAGTTGGAAAGGGTGGACCATCATAAAATGTGTACCTGAGAGAGTAATTATACTTCTATTTTATTATCGATTTCTTTGTTCGAGTCGTTTTGTTATAAGGAATCGAGAATAATGTAACAGTTTAATCTTTCAGCAGAATATGTTCACGAGTAGAATTCCTCCCACTGGTAAAATACTGTTCTTTCTGCATGGACGGCAAAGGGTTGACACAGTATCTCTGGCTTTGCAAGGAAGCAATACCAAAAAGGACAATACCAAAATTGGCGTCTCAATACGAATGAAAAATTTTCAAAGTGAAGTTGAACAAACAAAAAAATAAATAAACAAGAGACCCACAGGCCTTATAGGTCACCTGAGTATCATGCAACAACTTTCCAACAATTGAATTTGCTTCGTGTTTTAAACCAGAGGCCATGAAATTCACAATTTTGATGCACAACGGTGGACGAAAACAGGTAGCAATAGGTCACCTGAGTTACTCAGGTGAACTAATAAAAAAAATATTAATCCATATCAAAAACAACAACGTACCTTGGTTTCCCTGATGAATGTTTTAAGGAAGTTTGAAAAGCATCTATTTCTCTCCAATATTTAAGGATTTTTTCCTCTTCGTCTGGGAAACTAATATTTGCTACTGGTATTTCCTGTGTCTGATTCATGACTATATCTGAAATTGAATTATTGAAGTCTTAATATTAGAATTGTTTTCGAATCATTTCGATCCATATTTAAAAAAAAAACCTCTACTTCCTATATTTATCATGATTTGGATCGGTAGAAACCATGTTCGTCTTTCTCTGTAAGAAAACTATATCTAACATGGTTTGTTTGTTTGTTCTGTTTTGGTTGTTGACAATAACAGTTACATATATGATAAATGATCCGACCTTTTTTTTCACTTAACACATAAATATTTTCCCTGCAGAAATAGTTCATTCATTTTAAAATATCAATGCTTCAAATAAGTTCTTTTAAATGTTTATATTTCGTCCTATTTAATTGTTCATTCGACCATTCGCACGTCCTGTATCTTGCTGTTCATGAAGGTCAAAGGAGACATCAGGGATGCTTAAATGTAAATGAAACTAAATAGTGCAGGGAGGAATTTAAAGATTTAAAATGTAAATATAAGGAATGTTTTAAATTTCATTTAGTGTGAGTTAATGGCTGTATAATTCACGCAGACTTGCATACGTAGGCATATTTTTCATAAAGCTCTAGCACGCTTCATCAAATATGCCTGTACGTGATAAGTCTGCCTGACTTACTCGCCAATAACTCACACAAAACTTTAAAACTTTCCTTAATTAAATCTAGTAAAGGTTGTTTCGTCCAAAGTTAAGTTAGGAAAAGAAATTTTAATTGGAAAAAAATAAAATAGGATATACACACAGAGAGACCGAGGGAGAAGAGATAAAGCATTTGACATTCATGAACGGCAAGCTGCAGGGGGTGCAAATGGTCGAATGAAAAATTAAATAGGACGAAATATATAAACATTTAAAAGAACTTTTAGATATATGTTATGTACCAAACAAGTTTGTTGAAAAATCGGGAATTTTAAGCTAAAAGGTCAATCACACTATAGCCGGTGCCCGGCGATCCGAAAGGATTTTTATTCCTTTGGACATATAAATCTAAAAAAAAAAAAAATAATTTCATAGAAGATCAAAAATGTGCACATTCTTACAAAGTTCATTACTTAGCTTTTTCAACCGTGAAATGCTGTAAATTGTGTCATCAAATACATTTACTATTTTTACAGGAATATGCTTTTTTTCACAGTGAAAAAGTGAAAATTTCATTTAAACACTTTTTTTTGTAAAGATAGATATAATATAGTGAACATCAGGGCGTAGGTTTAGCCCCCCCCCCCTTTCAGTAGACACGTTGCAGTTTAGGTCAAAAGAGGGTTTGTGGTAGTGTTTGGAGAAAAAATTTGTACTGAATTGTACTGAAAGAAGTTTGATCCTATACCCCCCCCCCCCCCCCCGAAATAGGCTTTTCCATGTTTGGAGAATGGACCAATGGACACCTTTTCAATTTTTTTTTTTTTTTTTTTTTTTTTTTTTTGCTTGTCAAGTTTTTTTGTAGGATTGATTTTTTTTTCTCTGTCACTTAGCCCTCCCCCCCTTTTCAATTTGCTTCCGACGCATATGAAATTTAAAAAAAAACAAATAGTGCATGAAAATCAATTTCAGACCTATGAAACAGAAATATACATGTGTCTAGAGGTATGTTGGTACAGCGTTTAGAATAAATACAGAAATTCAATGTCTCTACGTTGGCAGTTCGAATATAGGCATGGGAAAAAGCAAGTTAAGACCCAGTGAAATGTTGTTTTTAACTTGTTTTTATCATTCTTCTATAAAGCTCTAAAAATACGGTCAGACATACCAAAATTGACTATATATATTAAGATAATAAGTAATTTAGAGGTAATTTTTTAAGTAATGCATTTATATAAAAGAGTAAAAATACATCTAAAAATTAAAGCATACTTTGGGGTTAAATAGTATAAAATACCAAGAAAAATGCAAAAATATTCTAAAATATAAAATAAAAGTTTAAATACTTACAGCTTGGCGTCTTTTTTCAGCACAAATTCGTCGACTGCAGTTACTGGAAAAGAGGTGTCATTGTACGGATATTATATGAGCAAGTATGGAACGCCGGGACTGTCTTATCATGACAAAATTAAATTCTTGATGTGCATTTATTTTTTTGTGATGTGCTTTTGTCATTATATGATGTGCTTTTGTCATTACATGATGTGCTTTTGTCATTATGTGATGTGCATTTATCATTGTGTGATGTGCTTTTGTCATTATTTGATGTGCATTTGTCATTTCTCGATGTGCTTTTATCATTCTGTGTTGTGCTTTCAATATCATTATGTGATGTGCATTTGTCATTATATTGCGTGATTTAGTCATTATATGGTGTGCATTTTTCAGTATGTGAAGTGTATATTTCATTAGATCGTGTACTTACAAAAGCCATTACGTCGTGTTCAAAAGTCCTCATGTGTGGTGCAAACATCTTTACGTGATGTGCAAGTTAAATTTTATCGTGGTGGAAACGTTTTCCCTCACTTTTACAACGATATAATTTAAAAAATCAACATAGATATATACTTGTCAAAATTTCTAAGTCCCCACTTTTATTTTTTCAAAAAGATAAAAACCATAGCATCAATTTGCTAGTTGCTAACAAATTTGCCTTTAATTTGCAATATTTACCTGTCAAGGCCAAAACAATTGTAATTGAATGTGTAATTACTCGACCGTGACCGTTTTTGTTAAAAAGCATGAAGTTCGAGTTCCATATTTTTTTCGGGTGTATTCTTCATATTTTTTACTTCCATGTGTTCTCCATCTTTAATTGATAACGAAAAACAAAAAGAAAAAAGTTTGATTTAAATGCGGTGTATGTCCACACAATGTGCAAGTGAAGTTGAAATGGCCCAAACTGGTCGTAGTTAACAAGAGTGCTGTGTCCTTTCACTGTATGACTTTATTTTACTTAAAACCTTTATAATTACTACCCAAAAAACCTACAAAGCATAACTGAATTTCTTTTAATCATTAGAAATGGCTAGGTTTTCAACAAACACCACAAATTCACCCTAGAGTTTATCCGGAAAAATCAATGGAAACGGAACCGGAAGTGCCCTCCCCTCAATGTCAAACTGGAGGAGTGGGGAATACATGTAATGAGACATCATGTTACTATTGTCGGCAATGCACAGGCACTTTCAGAAAACCCCCTTGTCTTCCTAATCCCAACCCCACCTAACGTGTATTGAAGAAGATAGACCGGAGTGTGAGACATTTTTTCCAGCAGCAGAATCTACCGGAACTAGAGGACGACCTAGTCTCTACATTGAAAAACATTCAATAAAAGATTTTTTCTTAAATAGTGTGAACTCTTTGAGGAACGGATGTCTTGTTGTGAATGCGTTTGAATGGAGGATAATGCAGTATTTAACGTTGTGAATTTTTAATTCTAGGGTGCCTTAACATTTCTGCATATTGTGTTAAAGTGCTTCAATAAAAATAAATTAAGTGAGAAAAATTGTTTTCTACTTTTTCATCCTGTATATTTATTAAATTATATTGTTTAAATAATTCAATATAAGAGCGGTGTAAAGCAAAAACTTGCCTGGGGACTTAGAAATTTTGACTAGTATATAATTTGCATGAAAAAAAATCCCCTTATTCGAAAAGTTTAAATTAAAGGACTTAGCATCACTTTTTTTTCTAAACACACCTTTTTACTATTGAACAGGTCGGTCCCTCCCCCCTCCCCCAACACTTTTTGTGCATTCAAGTCAAAGAAGGGTAATGTGGTAGTTTAAAAATGAAATTTGGTACTGAAAGAAATCCCCCCCTCAAGAAATATATTATTTTCAAGTTTGGCATCCCCTTTTTTTGGCTGGATAAATTTTTTTTCAGTAAGTTGATTTTTCCCTCTGCCCCCCCCCCCTTTCTCTGAATTTAATTCATTTTTATTTTTCTAGTTTAATATAGCACAACAAACCCAAGCCACCCCTCAAATAGGTTTCATGTCTGAAGAAATTCGTTTACGAGTTTTTTTCCCTTATATCTGTCAAAATAAAAAATGCTCTCCTTAAAATTCCTGGATCTGCGTATGTAGTTACTCTATTTAGGCAGATACTACAAATAGCTAGGGTGATATTTCACTCTAGGAGAAACTGAATTCACTAAACTTAAAACCAAAATATCTGTTTTAGAAATATATTTAAATGAAAATTTAGTATAAAAGGAATATTTCATACAATAAATCCTTGTCCGATAATTTTTGAGTTAAGTCATATATGGCGTATTTTTGATAAATTCAGACTTGATAATTAAAATTAAAAAGATCTTCCTATTTGTTTTGTTACGTTATGTAAAGATAGGACTTTCCTGTGAATTACACAATTTTAATCAATAGATATCCGAGATTTAAAACAATAACCGATATATTTCCCGACTCGGAATTCAAATATCAGACACAGTTTAAAGTCAAAGGGAAGGGATAGGTTTTTTCCCCAAACACTACCACTTACCCTTCTTTGACTACACTGCAACGAGCCTTTTGAAAGTGGGGGGGGGGGAGAATAGTTTTTCAAGAAAGAATATCAATGAATACAGTAAGTATGAAACTTAACCACTGTTTTCCCATGCACACTTGTGTCATATTAAACTAATAAGCACATCACGAAATGATAAAAGCATATTGCATAATGACAAGATCACATCACACAGTGATAAGAGCACATCACGTAATGATAAAAGCACATCACGTAATACTTACATTTCCAATAAATTTCCCCTATGATACTTTACAATATAAAATGCAGTTCATTTTCCCATGAACTACATTACATATGTACCACAAATAAGCATGAATATCTCCATTGTTACATCATAATACCGCACCTGACGTCAAAAAATATAGCACACTGTTTTAAAATGACAGTTGAATGGCGAAAATTTATGGCAAGTCATCAGAAAAGTAATGTAAATATAAGAAATGAATTTAATTTTTGAAGATTCATGAGGTATATGAACTAGAACGCTTCACGCTGGCATATTTATAATCAAGCGCTAACGCGCGTGAAGCGTCGTAGTTCATAACCTCATGAAGCTTCAAAAATTAAATTCATTTCTTAAATGACCTATGTACACCACGTAATGACAAAAGCACATCATAAAATGATAAAAACACATCATAAACAAGTAAATGCACATCAAAAATTTATTTTTTGTCATGTTAAGACAGTCCAGGCGTTCCATAAGCAAGTATATAAAAGAATTAATCAATTATGTGAAATGAACCCGAAATTTTAATTCAACTGCACTCCTACCGTCGTGAAATCTGATTTCTTCTCGGTTTGATGAAACAGCGGGCTAGGTAGTTGTTTAACATATATATGCATTTTAAGTGCATTTGAATGTAATTAAATTCAAATAAACTGTACGGGTGGCAACTCAGTTCTCTATCACTTTTCAAAACAACATCGCACCTTTTTACGTTTTTAATTGATTTATTTAAGAAATGAATTTAATTTTTGAAGATTCATGAGGTTATGAACTATGTCAACGCTTCACGCCGGCATATTTCATGAAGCGCGTTAATTAATTAAATTCATTTCTTATATTTACATTATTTTTCTGATGACTTGCCATAAATTTACGCCATTCAACTGTCATTTTTAAGGCAAAACAGTGTGCACTATATTTTTTGACGTCAAGTGCGGTATTATGACGTAACAATGGAGATATCCATGCTTATTCGTGGTACATATATGTAATGTAACTTAGTTCATTAGAAAATGAAGTGCATATTATTTTGTAAAGAATCATATTGGAAAGTTATTGGAAATGTAAATATTAATTTTGTAAATAAACATTGCTGCCTCATAGCTTGTTTATTGTAATTAAGGACATTGACAAGGTTCCTGGCTTTCGTATAGAATTTTTGAAATCTTCCTGACTTTGGGCTAATTCATGTAATTTTTGCTTACAAAAGGCATTGCTAAGTGCCATTTGTGACCAAAAGCTTGCATGAATCAGTCTAATGTTGAATAGTGCCAATATATTATCCTACCGGAATAAAGTATGAAACATGTAAAAGTTAAAACATTAAGAAAACCGTTAATGAAATGTGGGTGCGTTGTAATATTTACATTTCCAATAAATTTCCCCTATGATTCTTTACAAAATAAAATGCAGTATATTTTCTCATGAACTACATTAGGTATGTACCACGAATAAGCATGAATATCTCCATTGTTACGTCATAATACCGCTCTTGACGTCAAAAAGTCAAAAAATATAGTGCAAACTGTTTTGTTTTAAAAATGACAGTTGAACGGCGTAAATCAATGGCAAGCCATCAGAAAAATAATGTAAATATAAGAAATGAATTTAATCTTTTGAAGATTCATGAGGTATATGAACTACAACGCTTCACACCGGCATATTTATCATCAAGTGCTATAACGCGCTTCATGAAATATGCCGGCGTGAAGCGTCGCAGTTCATAACCTCATGAATCTTCAAAAATTAAATTCATTTCTTAATTGTATGCGATCGACGGATCAGGGTTAGAGTTTCTCAGAGATCGTAACTGTGTTAAATACATCTCCATCACTTTGGGTTAGGCCTAGTTCATAAATTTTTGCTTACAAAGAACAGGAAAAATTTTTTATGAACGAAAGTTCGGAGGAATCAACCTGATCTAATGTTGAAACATGACCGATTTTGAGCGCTAAGTTTAGGCAAGTTATTGTAAAAACGACTTATGACTTATCGGGCAAGCCCTCGGGGAATAGTTCAATGACCCTCCGGTGAATACGGCCTCAAATCCGGTGAATATGTAGTGTTATGAACCGTTTGCGCTTGAATAGCTTATATATATAGGGAATATAAATAGACTATATAATAATGGGCATCCGCCTCGGTCAATATGAATATTTTTCTGGTAGATAACAAACCATATTCAACACCAAAAGAGTCCATAATTGTATATTATCCTGTTATTAGCATTGCGATGCTGATATTTTTTGACGTTTTTGACGTTAATGGCGTGAAAGATTATTGATTAAAGTATGAATTATTATTGTTTAATTTCTTCTCTCTGAAGTAAATTTATAAAGGAATAAATGTATTTATGAAAAATGGTAAGAATAAAAAAAAATCATTATTTCGTGAAAAATAAATT